CGAACGCGGTATGAATTTTAAAATTAACGTAGTATAGATAACAGAACGTAATAACATTTATTATGGCCACAACATCGTAACGGGATATCGAATATATTATAACATTTTTTTTAAGCTAAATATTTCAGTATAAAAATTTAAATAGTATTGAATCAAAGTTAAATAGTTTTAGTTTTAATATCTATATTAAATGACAGACAGACGCGTTTACAACAATGTTCAAATAATTGTGAAGTCGCTATAGATATGTAATCACAATTTTGCTATATGAAAGCTGTATTAACGAAAGCGTACCTCGATGTGCAATGATATAACCGTTAAGAATCACATATCGTTGGAAACCTGTTACACATAATAAATGAATTAGTCAGGGTGCTGAGGAAGTTGCTTTCAGAATGAAATAATAAATAAAATGTATTGAATAAACTGTTAGATGAAAACTAAGGCGGATGTAAGTAACAATCGAAATCTATCCGTATTTATCAACATGTTATTATCATGCGATATAATAGATATAATCTCGACGACCAAGAAAAATAACGCCTTATAGAGGTTTGGGAACGCGATCGTTATAATTATAGGCACGATATAGGAAAGATAAAACTATAATTGGAATCAAATCGAAGCTATTAAATCTCAAAGCAACATAAGGAAATATTTAATTCATAAATAAAAGATAAATTAAAAAAGAAATTCAATGTCAAAAATTCGCCTTCTATCGGAATGATACGAAGGCTGGCATCAAATAGCATTAGTATAAAAAACCAGTTATATTGCATACCACGCCGAGCTAAGTAAAGGCTGGCATTAAGAGAACTACACTCGTGAATTATAAGAATGTAACATTCCCAGTTAGATGGACTGTATCACCTGCCATACAACCTTTGATTCACTTCGTCATAGTCTAGACAGGCATCAATTCTATGATTCAAATAAAATTCCAATTCAAGCGTCACATGAGAGGAATGTCGTTAAAAATATTTAAATTCCTTGAATATTATATTAATATAATCATATATTCTTCAATTAAATAGGATCACGTCATCGTTTAGTTATTGAGCACTCAGCCGAGCGAGCAATGTTTACCGAGCTCTTGCGAATTATCGAAAAACATTCTTTAATAGTCATCGTAGTACAGATCAATGGTTACGTCATACGATGAATAAAAACCAGATCCGGCTCGTGTGTCGTGATGTCCACCGCCTCAAAACCGAACTAGACGAAAATAAACTAGCAACAAAACAATTCACATACATAGATTACTCTACTATGAATGAAACAATGGTTTGTTCCCAGCGGCTGCGATTTCACGTCGTTAGCCTATGATGTTATTTGTCGCGAGAAATCTTACGAACAAAAAAAAAATTACGCGTCACCTTGATAATAATTAGCGATCAAGATAGTGCGGCTGGTATTATTATATATATATTTTTTTGGTGGAAATTACAAAATCGACATTATAAATATGCAACTTTCCTCGTACCGGTGGCGAAGGACTCGGGCGCAATCTCGGGCCCACCGCCACGCTCCGAAAACCACCAAAAGGTAGCGTCAGAACGGCGGAAAAATTTTGAAACAAATTGCACAAGACGTTCATATTTTTAAACAATATAAAATTAATTGCCATATCTGATCAGAAACTGATAATTACTGTTTACTTCAGACCTCATACCGATCGAATCTCGATAGCAAAGACTTACTTACGTATCGATATTCTTTGTTATACTCTATAACTCTTACCTGAAACAATAAAAAGAGCTTTAATAAAATTACATAACAATAATTTATCGTTTTAAATACAACATCATAACTATAGTCTATACATTAGTGGGATTTAAGTGCTATTTTAAATTATGTGAAAAATAAGGAAATTATTTCGTAATCGCAATCACCGGAAGAGGCATGAGAAGCAAATAACTTTGTGTTACATAGAAGATTATACAAAGTGTCGTATAAGACCATACAGAATTACGAAACGAATATCAAGAAAGTAGGAAACAAACAAAAGAAATGAAAGTCAACAACAAATCAGTATGCGTACCTCGAGAACGGTCTCGGAAAAAAAATAATTTAACAAATCTTTATGACATCTTAAAATACGAGGAAGTCCAAATAGAGAATATTTTGTAAACTGTTCCACTTATTTATCATAACTCTAGTGGTTTGAATTACACACGACGAGAATAGAAATCAGTTCAGGAAATCTTTGTCAGTCCTATTTAGGATATACAAAAAAAAATCCACATACAAGTGTGGTATGTATGAATTCTTACACAATAATGACAACCTTGTATATTACAAAGACGTATTATAAATCATAAATCGGACAGCATTGAACGAATAGCTGCGCGGGCGCACTACGAAATATTGATGGCGGCGCGTGCGCATTCACTGACACTGTCGCGATTCGCTTGTCACGAAACAAAAATCATAATTTATGTGTTGAACTTAACGACTTCTATTTGAAAAGAACCAATACATAAAAACAACAAACTATTAGTAGACTTTTTAAATAAAATTGAACATTAATTTCGACCAAAATTTCCAAGTCACATAGCTCCTATTATACTGGACCTTGAGACACTATTCACTAATAATCTTAAAGATAGCTTTACCGTTTAGGTAATATTGGATGACATAAGGTAAACATCAGAAGCCGCATTCCAAAGTGACTGTCAATAGAACCTTGCCTTGACCGAACAATGTGACTGTGAAATGTATTATAAATGAACCGATGACATTATACAATATATCATTATTAAACACAAGATATTGATAAAATGATAACATTAAAACAATCATAGAAATATTGAGATTAAGAGCTAACTGATATTATTCATACAACGATTATAATAATAGAGAAAAATCATTAAACTATGGCTTATTTAGAAACGAAATCAATGGACAAACACGATCAAAACAAAAGATCTACTATGCAATCATTCATCCGAACGATTAGAGGGATTACGATAACAATCAATGAATTTTCACCTTTGATGCTAATATAATAAGATTGAGAATACAAGATCGATCAAGTCATAGGCTACAGATATTCAGCAATTGGACAGGCCAGCACGCGCTATGTAAAACGCATCATTAAATTTGCCAATCCAAAGCAATCTTATCGTAAAACGAATTCGGAATCAACTACCAATATCTCAAACTGTTGTTCTCTTTCAATGGGTATAAATCGATATTACATTTCCGTGATTTTTTACGACTAACAAGTAAAAGCGGTTATTTCATAATATCGTCGTATGACAATTTAAATTCGACCGTATTCCTACATCGGTTCATTGTGGTTACGACATCAGTCAACCTTACATTTTGACGCGTGTCCTAACAGGTTAAGATTGTATCAAATTAATGATTTCGGTTTCAATAATGTCTTGAGGCCAATGAAATTATAAAGTACAAGTTAAAATGAAACGTTTCAAACATAAAACTAAATGGATCAAGAATTTTGAAACGCGTCTGACTTAATAATATATCACCAAGCAGATATAAAATAAAACGTTCATATAACAATTTAATACACATATTGTACAAGCTGTGAGTAATGTGGTTTTATTTGTTCCGTAAACTCAAGGAGATCAATATTATACTATTACAAAGTAGTTGCAACTATACCGCCGAAGGCTAGGCATAATTACGTAAATAGCCACTTCAAAGAGACTATCGAACATAGATTAGTTGTCAGACAGCTAGATCCTGTTTGAAACTTTACAGAAAACTAAACGGTTTAATGTAATAAATTAATAAATGCAAGTCTTATTTTAAATGTAGCTCAGCAGGTGAAACTGCAATCAGAGTATCCTGACAGACGACAAACAAAGGCCAGTGGAAAGTTTGCACAGTGACGAGCACTGAATACAAATTGTCAACAATGAATCACTTAATAATACAATTGGCAGAAAAAATAGCCGGCACATTTCATTCAGCTAAACACAACATTAGAACTTGGAATGTTACAAAAATCTAATAATTCAATTTTATTGGCATTTACGCAAGGTTAGATTTTAGAATTTATAAACTTTCAGAATTACTTAAATTTTAATGCTCATTAATAAGGAAAGGTTTGAACTTTGAATAGGAAGAGTTGCCAAGTTTTTCGAGGTGAGCCGGTGATACGAGCATTCAAAACGATTCCCCTAAATGTCAAACTTTATGTTGAACTTCACGACTCTAAGATCACGAGAATAACGGAGATGAGCTAACGCAGATTCCGTTTGTCAGTATAGGAATTAATAGATCTTATAAACGCCACGTACATAGATAGAATAATACCTTATTACTCAAATATATAGAAAACTACAATAATATATATAATTGTAAATAAGAGATAACAGATGGAAATAATTCATAAATTTCTCGTAGGTCACGGCCAATGCACCTTTCTAAGGCAATAAAAGCGACATTAGATTTAATAAATGTAAAAATCACAATGTTTTTTTGCAAGTCATGTTATATTCTTGGTTGTGTGAAACGCATACGTGTTCTCTATACATTTATTGACTAGGTCACGTTTCACCTTTATAATAGTTACAACGTTCGTTAACTGTAAGAGGTGTTACTTTTACTTTATAATAAAAAAACACGCTGGTTTTCATATCATGCCTAGTAACAAAAGGTTGAACATGTAAATAACTCAGCCTCAAATTAAAACATGACAGTCGATTTTGTCGCAGACCTCGCGGCCTTCCTGCTACGTTGTCATTACTTCTTAATTTCCAAATTAAACGGTTGGTTCTCAATGCCACCTAGATCGAAGGTGGTCGCTTAAGACGAATTTATAAAAGGCGGGTGGTAGCACGCGGCACGCCAGTGCTTAAAACACTGTCAGAACGTTATATATCGCGTCCTTTCACTTCGCTCACGAGAGACAATTAAACGTATCTAAGTAACAAAATCTACGTCTGAGATGAGTTCATTATCTGTGTATTTGTTGATTTATATATTGTGCGAATAATGTAATTAAAGGGACGTTTGTAAACTTTCAGATGGTGAGAGGGGCGACGTCAGTGCTAACCATAGCGCTGGCATGGGCGTGCGTGGTTCGTTCCAGCGTCCTTGTGCCCACCTACGTGTTGCCGCCTGACTCGTTCGTGCGTGATCAACGATCTCTCGACACACGATCTGACAGCGACACCTCCGAATCACAGCGCATGATAAAACGGCTGATCGGAGGGCATATGAAAATCAAAGCTGAAAAAGATCATGGCAACTCTAAAAACTCGATAAAAGATGACTCAAAGAGTGAAAGTTCTAAATTCGCTGGAGTTATTGTGCCGGACCTTTCAGGCGGCACAGTAGGATGGAATCAAGGTATCTGGGATGACGGCATGCTCATGTCCAGCGCGGGAGCGGGGAAAGATACGGGAAAGATGAAAGAGGATGATGAGGACAAAAAAACCTTATCAGACCAAGTGGCTGAAGGAAAATATGGATTAATACAAAATGAAATATTCTCCAAAGCACCCAAACGTCCTGGTATATTGAGCTATGAGCCCAATTCCGAAACAAGAACTAAAGATAATGTGCAAAGTCTTGGCGGCCTTAAAAAGGAAGAGATATGGCTCGCTGAGGACCACCTTCTGGTTTTAAAAGGAGGCTCATTCCCAGAACGTACCCAGGAAGCAGAAAATAACCCGTGGCCACCAATAGACAACTATGAGGCGCCCAGGAGGCAAGTAAAGCTACCACAGAAACCAAAAGTACCACCGCCCTTTCCGGTTCGACTCTCCGACGACGGACCGCTCGTCTTTCTCACACCTAACGGCAGTGTCCCTGCGCCCATTTACCCACCCTTCCCTACAGGAGAAGGCGAAGGCCCTCTACCTCCTTCGTCATTCCTTATTCCAGACGGTGCGCCCTACCCGGAAAGTGATTATCAAAAAAACACTTCTGCCGGGCCCTCTTCGTTGCCAAGTCCTCCGTTCCCATTCCTACCCGGGAATGCGAGCGAAGGAGCATTTCCCTACCCTCCATCCATAAACGGCTCTTTTCCAGAAGGCTTTCCTCCGGGCGCAGCATTTCTACCACCACCCAGCAACCAAACCGATCTATACGACGAAGACGACCCTTCGATATATTATCCGCCGCCATACAATTTTTCCTATCACGCTGATTATAAAAGCAATGTACCAGCTGGACCTCTGGTACCTGGGATTATTTTACCACCTCCGCCAGATTTCTTTGCTCCTCTTGAGGAAAAAACAACAACGGAGATGGACAAACCTTCAAGGCCAACTCCCACCCCAACGTACACAAGATCAAAGACTACAACTAAACAAACAGTAAACAGAAGCAAACATAAAACAAGACCAACAACAACTGAAAGTGCACAAACGAGTGAACTTCCTACAACGACATCAATGCCAACAGTTGAAGTTGTAACTTCCCCGAAATACAGAAAAGCCCAACGCTTGCCACTACCTCCAAGGCAATCTTTCAGATCGCAAAATCTTCCAAAGGAACCAGTCACTAAACCCAAGACTGATAAGCCAGTTTACAAAACACGAACAAAACTGACATCAAAACCCCTTTCTGTGTCGGTGATTTACGATTATCCACAACAATCTTACGATAATAATCCTCCAACAACTACGGAGAAGCCTTACATCTATTATGAAGTGCCACAAAAAACAAAAGAAGTCGCTAATGACATAACGTCAACAGCCGTACCATTACGAGCATATTATTCAAACCATCAAAACGACGAAGTCCCGACGACAAAATTACAACCAGTGTACAATCGGAAACCGAATGAAGATGCTATCGCTTCGTTTTACTTCTTTGACGAACAACCTAAAAGTTCACCCAGACCCGATAACTTTTACGATGGAAGAAATTACTACAAAACTGTACCCAGTCAAGCTCCATACAATCCTCAACAAAATAGCAACTCTCAAACCGGATACAGACCCACAGTTGACGTTGAATACGGTTCCATCGATCAGGAAGCTCTATTTTTATGGCCGCAGAAACAAGGACCGAAAACATTAACACAAGAATACTTCAGCATACAAAAACCAAGACCACAAGTTTATGTACAACAGATTAAACAGAGACCTGATCCATTCTATCAACAAATAGCGGATATACAACAGACCATCGAGTTATATACAACTAAGAGACCGAAATCACATAGAACACACACAAGCAAACCTCAACACACGAACCCCAGGCCGGTGTATCAATTTAGTTTTGAAACTAAACCTCGACCTGAGAAGTTGACCTTCAGAGCACCTAAACTTGACCCCGAACCATTCAGACCGATGGTTAGTTACAGTAAACCATTCAATTTGCAAAACGAGTTCAATGCCATCACACCGTCTGCCTCACCTGTTTACCATCAGCAATATCTAGTGGAAAATGTTCAAGTTACAACTGAATCTCCCACTTCATCGAGATATTATCCTAAAACTAAGACAAGGGACGAAGATTACGAAGATAATGTATATCAAAAAGAAACGTTTCCACAGAGCAACATAAATCAAATCCCAGTAAGAACAGGAAAACCTACGATATCAATAAATAAACACCCAAGCACAACACCAAATCCAATCAGTAATGGTTATTACACTAAACAGGATGAGAAGTATTTTGACGATATCACAAAAAATTCATTTGATGTATTCGGTCAAAAACTAGAAGACACACAAGACGTGAATGGAATCGCCGTCACCGAACCGATTGGTACCGTGAAGACGCCGATTGATAACAACATAAACCAACAATATTACGAAGTTGTTAACGCGAATCCAAACGCACCGAATCTGAGCAAGGACACTATAGTCAACGACCGATATCCGCGACCGACAGTCAATCCATATAGTGTACCGATTGAACATCGGCCACATAACGAAGAACTCATCGAAGAACCGAAACCTATTTCGCTATACGGTGACACATTGGTCAACGAGAAACTTCCACGACCCATGATAAATCCAGACAGCGAGTTCATACCAATACCGGATCCAAATTACAGAAAACCCCAGCAGTATAGACAACAGAGCCAGGTTCAGAGACCTCAGTATACTGGTGAACAGTATGACCTGAACGGTCCATCGTTAGCTGGTGATACGGCTGTGAATTACAAGCGGCCTCTACCACCAGTCAATCCTGACTCCGAGTGGATAGGACCAGTGAATTCTGGCGAAGGTCGACCCGGTTCATACGTATCCTATCGTTTACCAGGCGACGGCGCCCACGTTTACTTCCTAACACCGCAAACCGCACAAAGATACAGAAAACCGGGTTACGGTCGTTGAAAACCAAAGCTCTAGTCTCAATGTTTGCGACTATCATCGCGTACAAACAAATGTGATGTTAAAGTGTCCTAAGTAGTATTACAAAGACTAGCGATCTACCAGCGTTGCCATAATAATAAACGCGTGTTATAGTGAGTGACTGTTTAACGAACGCTATTAAACATAAACATTATTTATTAAATTATATTATAAGTGAGTATGGTGCAAGATTAGTTTGTAAGTAATTTATTCATGTGTGTCAGTATTGGAAAATAAATATTATGTGATAATAGTGGGGGCATGACTGAATATATTGCTGACATGTTATTGTTGATGGTTAACAACAAATGACTATTGTGATTTTTTGTATGTGTTTTATAAAACAAACGATTTGGATTAGAAATAAAAATATTTAAAACATAATATGCATTATTTCATTGAAGACATTACACACAGTAATAATAATACATCAAGTGGCATTTAGTTTTCAATACAAATAATTATTTAACATTTCAACAAGATAAAAGAGTAAAATAATAAAAACAGATGACATTATAGTATTTTACTTTTTTATGAGCTTCGACCATTTAAAGACTTCAATAAAACTTACAAGTCATATTATAGTATTATATAAGCCAAATAAACAGAAAGATAATATGTAGGAAAGAGATACTTCTTATTATATAAATAATAATAATAAATAGAACAACTATAAGCATATATATATAGTGGTTATACTATAAGCAATAGATCCCTTTTTTCTAAATAGAAAATGTATTGAAATTAATATAAAATATGTATAAATCCATATATGAGTAAATATATATTTTACACTATTGTTTGATAATTGAATAATAAGTAGTGTATACCTTATATATGTAGCTTGGCATAAAATACATTGATTTTATAGAAATTTCGCCACTAAAAGTCGCGGAAAGAAGCTAGTATGTTAGTTATATATTTAAAAGCTTAATTTATAATAAAACTTAATTTATAAAATTTTACAAGCATTAATCACACTCCAATTCATAAAGCACCGATTAAAATTAAATTATCTGGTTGGTATGAAAAAAGTATAGAAACACTAAATTAATAAAGTTTTAAATTGCAATAATATAATTCTTTCTAGTAACAACTAATAGCTCAGTCATATAAAATAAAAATTGGATATAATACTTTATAATATATGTAGTGGAATATTCTTTTAATTAAAGGTTATTCTTAGCAAGATATATATATGTATGTGTGTGTGTGTAAAGAAGTATTATGGCCATATACACTATAAATTAACATTAACTTCTATCAAATATTTAATGTTCTAACTCACCTGTATCTGGCTCCTGTGTTTGTGGGACATCTTGAAGCGGATGTGCGTAGAGTCTCAGATATACTTGTATGGCTACACGAGCACATCTGAAGTAGAATGGATGAGCTCGGAGAACATCTTCTAGCCTTAGGAGACCCACGTACGACCGGAGCGTCATCTTACGCATACAGTATGAATGGAAATCGAACTGATCCTCCATTATTTCTGAGAAATGCTGGAACAGATATACAAATGATAGTTTAATATATGTTTTACACAGATATATATATATAGTCGAGGATAGTGCAAATCCGCGTAACTATTATTGAATATTTCCGCGTATCTGCATTGGAAGCAGATTATTATCAGAAGACAGTGTAAGCTGAAATATTTTCCAAATTAGCGACTTTTAAAGTATTTTTTTCACAATTTGTAATTACACTTTAAATAATATTATTATTAAACTTAATTAATTTGTAATTAAACTTTAAATAATATTATTATTCATAGTCACTAAAATAAATCATGTAATTACACGACCTTACTCATTATGACATAAGGCATAGACAAAAATTAATAAAATATTTTCTTAACAAACACTGACCCTATCATAATATGTAACATTTTCGCATATTCTCATTTAAATGAAACTAAGTTTTTCGGGTACAACACGTTTTTTATTGTTATAACTACATACTCCCGACGTTTCGATTACTTTGCAGCAACCGTGATCTCGAACAAACAATTTAAAAATATCTGTCAATTGGTCTTGTTATTTATCATTTACCGCCAACAATTTCTTAATTTCCTAGCATACCGCTCGGACTGCAGAAATGAATTCGTTTACTGTTTCTTAAGATCTTGTGGTGTGGTCAAAGACAAGTTAATGCTACTATATATAATATTAATATTATAATTGCGAAAGTTTGTGAGTGTGTGTGTATGTTTGTTACTTCTTCATGCTCAAACGGCTGAACCGATTTTGATAAAATTTTGTATACAGGAAGCTGACGTCCAGGAATAACACATAGGCTACTTTACATCGCGGAAATCGGCGGGTAACACCGCGGGGCGCAGCTAGTATATAAATAAATATGTTTTTCACTGACCCTATCAACTTCGTGAGCCTTCTTTAACGCCTCTCCCCATTGTTTGAGTCTTTGGTACGCCGCAGCGGCTTCTGTCTGGAACCACATGCACTGCATCTCGTTGAGATTCTCAGTAGCTGGTACACCTGGAAATTTATAAACAAGGTAATGTAGCCTTAAATTTGATCACATGAGTTGATCGTATATTATGGAATGAGTTCAAACATATATAAAGCATATCCCATATACAGAATATACCTATATATATAAATAAGTTATTCACTGACTTGTCTAGACTTAAGTTAATGATTTTATCAATTTTAAATCATATTTATAGCCCAATATTGTGATAAATTTTATTCTATTATTGAGATAGTCACTACCTTAATTTTATTTCGTTCCTATCTATCAACAAATATCAAGTACTGTTTCGTCACTGTTATAGTGCGTTTGGTTTAAGCTGAGCTTTGCATTTGTGTGAATACACACGAATAGTGTAGGTGTAATGTCAAATTTTTGAATGCCACGTTCTTTTCTAGTTTTGTACCGCTTTATTCTGCTTTTACTCCGCCCCGCACCTTCCTCACTTCGACCTTTGTAATGGTAGCAACATCAAATGTTGAAAACGCAATGTCAAGTGAAGAAGAATTTGTATAGTTTTTTAATTTTTTTTTTACTTAATAAATTTTATTTCCATTTGCCTTTTACAAGTTTTGCTTATTTTATTTTTTAATCTAGAATAGCTCTCGCACTTATGTTATGTATTTATTTAAAATATAATAGAATTAAATTCTAAAAGTTTTTTGTCTAACTCTACTTTTACTTTCATTCACACCAATGCAAAGCTCAGCTTAAGTCTAATGGACTATACAAATGAATTGATGTCCACGATACAGACCTAGCCTAGTGCGGACGTGAACGTTTACTATATATTGCATTGTAAAGTGTTTTTACAGATGAATAAATGAATCAATGAATAAATTAATAAATTTCGTCATTGTGAATAATATTTATATAATATTGATACCTTCTCTTGTGAACTTGGCACACATATCCTCCGCTCTTTGTACGTGGCCAGCCCTCAGCATGTATCTCGCACACTTGCTGTTCACATATCGATCCGCTGTGTCCATAGCTTGAGCCTCTTCAAGCCAACCGTAAGCTCGCACTGGATCTCCGGCATGCTGTAATTATTATTGAACATTAATGACTAAAATGTATTAAAATAAGGCATCCTACTAATATTGTAATTGCGAAAGTTTGTGAGTGTGTGTGTATGTTTGTTACTTCTTCACGCTCAAACGGTTGAACCTATTTTGATAAAATTTTTGTATACAGGAAGCTGACGTCCAGGAATAACACATAGGCTACTTTACATCCCGGAAATCCTAGAAATCCGCGGGTAACACCGCGGGACGCAGCTGGTAGTTACATAATATGTTCTGGGTGTATTGAATATGCTTTGTCAATAGAGAAGAATGTACCTTAGAGTTTTCTTAAAAAACACCAAAATAAAATTTGTGATCATAAATACATATTTAAGTTGATGATAAAATTATGGAAAAAATAAAACTTTTGGATCTTATTTCTTATAATATTATGTTGAAGTGTTAGTCATTATTTTTGATTCCTCATACTCGGAAAGTAGAGTTGTTTTGATCTGATTAGAGGGTGGAAAATGCTTTTTCCCTCCCTAGCGCGGAAAAAACTCATACAAATTACTTTCCACCCAAGGGCCGGAATCAATTTTAAAAATACAACTACTGTCAGCGGTGACATTAGATGTAAAATAAAAAAAAATGCTGAGTCCATGCGAGTTTCTAAACAGCCAGTGTGAACTTACTTAGCGCAACTAGTAGATATTGTATTCTCTTTGGCGCGAACTTCTTTGAGCGAAATAAGCCGCAACAAATACGCGGTGAATTCCATATTCAAAATTATTATATATTATCAATAAATATTTAGTTCAGATAAACTACATACTAGTTTTATTTTCCTCATTCATTCGAAATGAAAATTAAAATGTTAAATTCTCGTTTCATAGCGTCTAACTACCTTGGGAATTGATTCTTTCCACCCATGGTGAACATCTACTATTATGTATCACAAGCACAATTACACACATTATCTTTGAATAGTATTATATAGTACACTGTATATGTACATACCTTATAAATCCTTCCCTTAACGATATAAAGCTCTATCAATGTAGGTGTATGATCTATAGCTGCATCTATGTACTTCAGTGCTCTGTCTGTATCTTGTTTATAATCGTAATGCTGGGCTGCAAAGTAATAAGTCCATAGCAAGGCACTAGCTGGCTGCTTGATTTCATCGGCTTTAGGTCCAAATGTACCAGACTTTGATAAACAGTCCATATATTGTTCTATTAACTTCTCTATTGTGTCCGCTTTACTTTGATCCGCATATAATGATCTGTAAACAACATTATATTATTTTAATGGGAGTATTGGATTTTAGAAATAAATATAGCGAATTTTATAATATCCAATTTAGTTGAGTATTAATGATGTGTTTTTAATTGCTATAAGAAAACTACCCTTAATTTCAGAAACGTAATATATGTTATATAGACATATATACACATCTGTCATAAATATTAAAGTATATTTAAATTCTGACATACAACATATACATGTATAAATCATAAATAGTTAAAATAATTTACTGTATACAGTAAAATACAAATATCTTCACACAAAGCCCTAATAAAAGCGATCCAAAGATATATGTCATTGAAACAGTTGAAACAATTAAATGCAACAATAACATCATTACACAATCACCTTCACTGATTTAAATTCATCATGTTTATATTTCTGACATTTTTATTAAATACTATTCCATCATAGGCTACTTTTAATATATATGAGAAATAAAGCATCAATTAGCACAGCAGAAATCGAATCCGCATATTCAGAATGCGTCATTTCAATCACTTTACAAGATTATACTATGTAACTTAGTATCAAATATAATGTATTAAATTATATTCATTATCAATTAAATTATATTTGGTTAGGTAGAGAGAGGAGCTTGGACAGAGGTGGTGAGCGTTTAACGCGCGTTAGACAGGGTACCCTTAAACCTACACCTGGGTCGCAAGTCCCAGGCACTGTTGAAGCTCCTCTCACTACAACGATGGACCCGACACCCGCATGGTGAATACATGGAATGATGAGAGGTTTTGTCTTTAACAAACCTTAAATCCATAAATAGTGGCGGGATGCCTTTATGTAGTCCATGACGAAGATACTCATCTACTAAAGATTCAAAGGCTGGCAGGCAAGCCTCGGTAAGCTGCAACCGCCGGGGTGCTATTGCTCTTGGATACTCCTTCCTGAAGATTATATTTATACATATATAATATCATATACTACTAATCTCCCAAATCATAGTATCCTGACCCGGGCAAGTACCAATTTGATTTTTCCGAGTCATATGTACTTTCTAAGAGTATTTAGACATCACTGATTAATACTGAATTCCCACAAGACAGACCCTGGCTATAGCTTCGAAATTGCCAGGTAGAAGAAGATATATATATTGACTGTTTCAATTTATAATGGTTAGACATAATTCTTTCTACTTTTACATAACTACCCGTGAACCCATATAATTACAAGTGTCATTGAATATACTTATCGGTCAAGTAAACTAACTAATATTTTCCTTATATTATCTATTTAAAACAACACACAGTATATTTATAAAATAAATGTGTTTTGTTCACAAAAAATAACAATTACAATTAACTCTATGTACTTTGAAAAAAGTTTTAGAGATCTTGTTTCGAGTTTGAAGGTAAAAAACTAACAAAAAGATATACAAATGAGATTAATTAATTTTTTTTATGGAAAACTTACTTATATACATCATAAAAGGCCACTTTTTCATCAGGATCACTAAGCTGTTTAGCTTCTACTAATTTCTGATAATACATAACATTCTCAGGATTCCTTTTTAATAAATCCTCATAAACGGCTTCCGCATCTTTAAACCTGAAAATTAAATTATATACATATTAATAGTTTTGTATATATAATCTTTTTATACCTATATTGATTTAGACCATTATCACTATCTTATAATTAATATCTATGCTAGTCTCAGTTAATAATATATTGACATTGTTAAAATACAGCAAAAAAATCAACATTAATGAAGACATAGATAAACAGAAAAAATCTTTGTAAATATTAAAAAATAATTCTACAAACCTCTTTAATTTCAAATAATATTCCCCAGAGGTTTCTTTAATTGAAAGCTTATCTAGAATCTGACTTTGGAACTTATGAAGATGCTGCAAAGCCCTTTCATATTGACCGGACTCGGCAAGAACCATGTTTTGGTAGAGTAACAATTCAGAATGTTCATAATCATAAGGACCCTTCATCTGGTTTGTACGGTAAGCATCGAGAATACTGTTTGCTATCTCGTAATCACCGAGGAGGTGGTAACTCATCGCAAACCCTATCCACGAAGCTCTCTGCGTTGGCCTCAGAATGAACAGTTGGTATCTGGTATCCTGAAATTAGCATATATTTATATTAATATTGTTAAATAATTCAGATTAGTGATATAAAAATATAGTGGTTGGTGATAAAAAAGTTAAAATCTAGGGTTGTATTCCACAATTGCCACATTAAAAAAAAAAAACAAAAAATTTTGACCATAAATAAAAATAAAAAATTTAAGAGTATGAAAAACAGATAGCAGCAGATTCTTAGACTTCTGCATATGCATATAAAATTTAACAAAAATTGGTAAAGCCATATCAAAACAGTATGGTAACTAACATTGTGTTATGGAAATTTTATATATTATAATATTAACAAGAAATCATTTCCCAGATATAGTATAATGAAACAATAGTCACAGTTGAGAATTATGTATATAGTAAAACAAGAATCAAACATGAATAATTGCATATTAATAATTGCATAGCGTTCTAAAAGTATTTCTTAATACAGTATATATAATTGCTTTGTTTTAAACATCATATATTATAGTCTATATACTAATAATTTATTCTTTATGTTACACCCACATATCTGAGTGGTAATCCTAGACTTACTTTGTAACCTTCTAAATCTCTCATCTGAATTTGAAGCAATGAAAGATCTCTAAGGATCTGGATGTTCTCCTTTTCCCACTTGAGTGCGTTCCGATAACATTTGATGGCCTCATCGTATTTCTTATCAGACCTCTGTAGCAGACCGTAGACATGCCAACACACGGGCGACTTCAAGTCGTTACGGAGACCACGACGAACATATTCATAAGCTTCATCTTTACGACCAAGGCAGTTTAACGTCAAACCTTTCATAGCCAGTGTCTCTGAAAAAAAAATATATTAATAATATCGTACGGATTATTGTATTGTCTAATATGACTTATCGTTAATTTACCTCCATGTTCCGCGAATTTTGGATTAGATAGTATTTGTTTGGCAAATTTCAACCCATTTTTGTATTGTTTATGTTCATAGCAACGCTGAAATCATAGATTTTTTGATTAAATCGTTAACCTCTATTTATTATGAGATGCAGGCGAAATAGTGCAAGGACAAGAAGTATCATTCGGTTAATAATAAATTTGTATACAACTATAATTTTATTTTTATGTAAACAGATGTTTATTGGTTTTCTGGTCGTCCTTATTTAAGAATTAAGGTATCATATCAATTGCATTATTTTTTATCTAGAAATAATAGCGAATATTGACAAGCCACTCAAAGCGAATATATTGTTTACAACTTAACTTACCAAAATCCTTTTAAAAAGAGCATTTTCTTTTGGCGGCAATGAGTTACTATGTGGCATTTTATTAATAGAATACGAATAATTCTTATATTATTTCACTAATAAATTGAAATATTGCTAAAACCTCGTGGCTATAAACCAAAGAAGTCGATGAAGGATTGTTGTCTATGACAATTCTTAGGTCACGTGACCCGTACTTAGTCATTGCCATCAAAAAATTAAAAATACAAGCAAACGTAATTAGAGTTAACTTAGAAAAGCCTTTTTGCTCAAAAATGTATCATGAAACTATAATTAATGTCACGCTTTTAAAAATATTTTCCATAGTAGAAAATTAACTCGTTAAAAATATAGTATTATTTAACGTAGGACTTTTTTCTGTTTCTCTCATTGTACTGTGTTTTTTTTATATCCAATGTTTTGTTAAATTGATGCTATAACTTTAAGATGATGTATTTCTTTACGATAATTATTTAATGAGGGGCTATTGAGATAGCTTTTATAAAGCTTCTATAAAATTGTTTGTGTTATGTCTACTGTTATTGATGTTAAATGTCAATGACATTTTGACGAGGTTTAACTATTTAATTCGAGTCGTTGACTAGTGATTGCAAAAGTTGTCGGCTTCATTAAAGGAATAAAAAAACTAACTGTACGAGAGTATAGCATAAACGAAGCCTAGTTTCAATCTTGTTTTGTACAAGTAATATGGGTATAGAAAACATGCGTCGTTGGCCAATGTATATCGTTTTTGCCTTATGCATTTTACTTACCCTTTCACTATTAAATAGTTGGAGTATGGAGACTGAATTACAAAATCGACTAGGGGAGGTGAGTTCGCAGCTTCAAGAATGTTCACGTCAACAGACTTCATGTATGGAAGAATCTCTACGGTTTCAACAACAACGAGATAACTATAACTCCAAAGTTAACGATCTAGAGGGATTGAAAGGTAAACTAGCTAGCGACGTTTCCGATTTCAGAACAAGACTTGCCAAATCAGAAATTCAAGTCAACCGAACTTTAGTGGACGTAGAGTTATGTAAAACGGAATTAGAATCACTTAAAAATTTACAAGTAAGTAAAACAGCCACTCTCGAAACGTTAAGACTGGAAAAGGAAACTTTAACAACACAGCTGGAAGAGAGAAAGAAACGAATTGAGGAATTAGAGAAAGAAATTGCTAAACTAAAAGTTGCCATGACTACAAAAAGTGCTCCGAACCCTCCACTCCCTTCAAAAGTGACTCCCGCAGCCCAACCACCAAAACTCAGCCCCGCTTTGAATGCAAATAATCCAATAAATGAACCAGTCATAGAAGATAATGCTAAAGAAGAGTTAGAAGACCCCAGTGCACTTAACGACCCTGATAACTTTGAACGAGAATAGTATTAAGTGAGGTCAAATTAGTGATTGACAAGTTTAAAGTTATTATAAGACAATATTAAGTTTAAATATAACAAAATTAACCTTTATGATATAATGTTAACAATTAGATTAAATACAATTGTATATAATGATTAAATACTAATTTGCCAGTTTGTAGCCGCTAGTTAATGTTTAATGCTTGCATTTCTTCATTAATAACAATTCTAAATCATATCAAATTGTGGCATATAATGGTATACAATTTTGCCCATTAATTAAGGTGATAGTTGGGCTATGGTTGTCTTCAAATATACAATTCTCATCTATGTTAGTGCCATTGCTTTTCACATTTCGACTTTTTCTTATAAATTCAGTTCGGTAATATATATATTTGATCAAATATTAAATTATGACATTCATAATATTAGTATTAAAGTTAGACTTATTATAAAATTATTTAGATATATTGATTGTGGAAAGGCTATGTAGTAAATAAATTTTAAACTATGAGAAATTTAATGAAATTTCTGTTCTTGCTAGTTAGCTATAGCTATCGCAATTATTTCATGAAAAAAATGATTAAAAGTAATTTTTTGAACTGTAATATGTTATCCCCAAATGCAAGATTCTTGTTATGTTTTGTTTGATTTGTAGTTTTTATACTCAAAATATTTGATATACATACATTGTAACTGAATTAGAAAATGGTCTACTTCAGAAAAAGAAAATTAATTGCTCTTAAGTCTATCAAATGGAAATAGTTTAACCATGATTTTTTAACCATATAAAATAAGGAGGACAAATTTTGAAAAATTTCCTAACAGATATTGAGAAACAGATAACTACGAGAAAAAAGATAACTTTGAAGTACATATTTGTTAAATAAGATAAATGTTGATAAAGTCTCTTAGCCTTCCTACAGTGAATATTTCTACTATAACAATGCACTCACAACTTGAAATATAATTTTAAGTTACCATTTACATAAAGTTTAAAATTATATTTAAGTATATTGCCATGACGGTGCCAGTCGGATCTGAAAGGCTTATTGCTCAATTTTATTAACGGGAAATGCATATAAATGTTTGTTTTTTACTATTAAACTTTAGTTTGTATAGCATCTGTTTTAAATGATGAATTCTTTGTATGGCAACACTATGTGTATATGCAGTTTTTATAATTTTTACTTTTTATGATCTCTCTGTATTTATACTCATTCAATCGGAACCGTTGATAAGTAAAATGCATGCTTAATTTTCTACCTGATGACTCGAAATGAATCATTATGAAAGTTTATTACTTTTTGTTACTAACTATGAAAAGTGAGATTTCAAATACTAATACTATTGTGCAATGTCTAATTTTTGTATACTGATTTTTGGAATCGCGATGTTGGAAGTATCGTTTTTGAACATTGAGCAAGATGCTCTGAATCTCCTATTAAATAATAATTATTATATTACATCATATGTATAATGAACATTTTGACAGGTGCTTAGTTTTATATGATCAACTTATCATGCGACATGAAAATATGACTAAGATGTTAAGATTTTAGGAATAAAATTGTTTATGTAATAACATCATTTTATTTAAACTTCCCACTTGCGATTTCGTCTGAATAATTTTAGAAATTTTTATTGTCTGCCTATTGTCAGGCTGTGAAAAACTTCAAATCCTTGGGAAGTTTGTTTGTGTTTTGTGTTTATGTATAAATAGCTAAAATTAATACCGAATATTCAAAAGTAGTTGATGACGATAAAAATAATCGAAGTATTAAATCGTTACTGCGTTGACTGTTTAAATCTGTACCTGAACATCTAATTGACGAATAGAAAATGTATAAAATGGCCAAATTTGTGGCGTTTTTAAAACAGAAATATATACTTATGTATTAACAAAGTAAAATTTGTATGTCTCCTCAACACTACTCGCGAAATACTCGAGAAACTTTGGTTTAATTCTGAAGTATATCACTACATCCTCGTTAAACTTTGCGATGAGCATTGAGCTCATTCGCTCTATGGTACCAACAGTATGAGCTTTAGTAATGATCACCACTTTTTTAAGTTATTGTATTTTTTCCTATATACCTACTATGGAAGAACAAATTCTTGAACTAAGAATTAAGATGGGAATTTATAAAATTTTGCACGAACTCATTAGACGATTTTATTTATTTCTTTCCAAAATCGAACCGAAGTACTGAAGTTTGCCGAGGAGTGTAGAGAGGTACTTCGTGAAACTTTGGTCCCTTTGTCTCGAAAAATCAACAACAAATGGTAGTCGCCCAAGGCGAAATAAAGTTTTTCAAAGTAAGCCGAAGGGCCTCTCTACATTATCGTATTCGTCTAACATCGTTCAACTTCGCTACTAGTTGCAAACAAAAAGTTGACCTTGAGTAATCAGTACCGGTCATCTTTTTGGTAAACGAATTTTTTTCTATTACCTAGTTACCTACTTACTAAAAATATTATTTTACAAGAATAATTCCAAGTATGCAGTATTTTTTTTATATTTTTTTCTATACTATTATATTCAACTCAAATGGCTGCCTATTCGATTTCGCCGTGATATGCACATCCTTTCGGTCCTATTCAATATTCTTACAAACCCTAATACTCCTGAATACCTCAGCTCCCGCCTTAACCTGCTTCCTCCTTCCTCCCGCTCCAGGCGTTCTTGCGTCACTACGATGCTTGATGTGCCTCGGAGTAACAGTAAATTTCGACTTCGGTCGTTCACAGTACGAGCTCTGCTACTATGGAACAAACTTCCTAAATTCATCCAGGACAGTACTACTATTTATATGTTCAAAAAACGCTTGAGACAGCATTTCCTGGCCCAAGTTTACCTTTATTCATAAACTCGTCTCTTTATATATGTATTTATGTATTACATTGTTTTGTACGTATATATGTATATGTTCATATTTATTTATTTATGTATATACGTGTATGTATGTTTATTTATATAAATATTATTTTATAATGTATGTAAGTCTGCACTGAATCGCCCGCTGTATGACTCTTATCACTCACCTCCATAGGTTGACTGGAAGAGATCTCTTTTAGAGATAAGTCCGCCTTTTTGTATGTTTTTTTTTTCTATTGTGTTATTTTCTGTCTTGTGTTTTTTGTGCAATAAAGGATATATTATTATATTTACTAATAGAGCTCCCATCGCATTCATCCCGTTTTTATAATATGATGCATGTGTTAGCAAATTTCCTTTATTTTTGTCACCATCCGGTGTCATCGTACAAACGCTTCTTTATATTCAAGTCAAACTTTGAATCCTGAGATATCGTCAGTTTAATGTGTAACAGTGACGAAAAAATGACAACATTTGAGTTTTTTTTTGTGAAAATTAAATAACTGGATAGGTCGCGAATAATTGTTCATTTTTATAAATTTCAATCTTTTAAAACAAAGAAACGCTAGTTTACGATTCATTAAACCTGACTTTTTAACAGTTTTTTTTATAAATCTGTGATTAATTTAATAAATACAGGGTGACTGGTGAATTACTATCGATATTTGAGGACGTGATTTGTGACGATCATATATGACAAAATAAAAATTAATATAACATAAATATTAATAAACTTCTAAGTAAAGTTAACCAAAAGTTATGTAATTAATTACGCATCGTGTGAGCACCCTACAGATTAGGTATACACCGACACTCACACATACGAGTGCGGCGGCGTTGTGTTGTATCAGCACGCCGCCGCACGCGTCCACACTTGGAACGTGTCCACACTTTATTTATTTATACGGAAATTTTGTCAAAAATTAAGTACCTATTTTTTTTACCTTATTCGAATGAGAATCATGTACCGAGTATTCTCCTTAAATATTGATAGTAATTCACCAGTCACCCTGTATATATTTTTTTATAAATCTGAGATTCAGTTTTGGGTTTTCAAGCATTCTTTAAATGATTATAATATAACTCAAATGGATATGACATATACATATGATATAGGTAGGTACATACTACACTACCCATTTAAGTGATCACGTTTACACTGTTTTAGATATAGTTAAAGCTGTAGTCAATTCGTTGTGGATTTTGGCAACGTGTTGCCTAACTTTTGTGTAACAGTTCAAAAGGTCATACGAGGGTTGAGGCATTTCACTAAGTAATTAATATAATGAGCATGGCCACGTAAAATAATTGGCATATATATTTGCAAAATAATTCTATTAAATAACAAACTTGCAAAACTATTTAAAATTGTTTTTCATTCATTTGTAAATATTGGCTAGTAATATGTAATTCTCTCGCGAGAATAAATCCCTCTAGTTATCTAAACGAAGGCTGAGACAATGAAATTGAGAGGACAGATTTAGTTTAGATAAATATTTCCTGAAGTGAGCTTTAGATTAGAGGTAGTCTGTGCAACTAATTTATATAGAAAATTAAATTATCCGTGGGTTATAGTTATTCGGTTTACTAAGGTCACTTCCCTAAATAGAAAGCGAATGTGAAGAATGTATAACAATTTAATGTATTTCTTGATTACCATTTTTTAATATCATTTTAAATATTCTTAAATTTTCTGAAATTAATAAAGTTATGCTGGAAAAAATAATAATGAACAATATTTTTACTCAAATGTTTAGTAGGTACACACATTACCTTATCCTGTTTTATTTCGTATTAATTGACTAAAATATATTCCCCCGCTGTAGTAGAGTCCTCACATAGAATCATAATATGCAGGGTAACTGGTGAATTACTATCGATACTTGAGGACGTGATATTTGACGATCATATATGACAAAATAAAAATTAATATAACTTAAATATTAATAAACTTCTAAGTAAAGTTAACCAAAAGTTATGTAATTAATTACGCATCGTGTGAACACCCTACAGATTAGGTATACACACACACTCACACATACGCGTGCGGCGGCGACACACTTGGGACACTTGGAACGTGTCCACACTTTATTTATTTGTACGGAAATTTTGTCAAAAATTAAGTACCTATTTTTTTTACATAATTCGAATGAGAATCATGTACCGAGTATTCTCCTTAAATATTGATAGTAATTCACCAGTCACCCTGTATATAAGAATTCAATTTTAACATATTTTGACATGATGAGCTTAGAAAACAGATGAACTTTATTAGACTTAATATTCCTATATAAAATCTTTAGAAACAAACTTGACTGTCCCCATTTACTATCCAAATTTTACCTTAGAGCCCCATCCAGATACCCTCGTAACTCAGTAAAACCTCTCTCCGCACCACTTCGGAAAACAGTTTTTGGTAATTACTCAGCAGTTGCTCGAATATCCAAATTGCTCAATGACTTCAGCGATTCAATAGATTTAAACATTTTAAGCCTTCTAAAGTTCCGATATCTAGTTATAGACAGAATTAAAAACGTCTAACTCTTTATTGATGTCCAAATTTAAAATTTTTTATTCATACAAAATTATACGTTATAATAATCAATTTTTTTTATTTTTTTTTATTCGATTTATGAAACAATATTATTTAAATTCTATAACTTATTAGATTATAAACGACAAACTGTATAATTTTAATTGAATAATAAATTATTTTAATTGTTTTAGTTATCAATGTATGCCATTAATTAATATAATTTCAAGATATTATTATTAAGTGTAAGATAGTATTATTAAGATATTATTAAGTGTTGACTAGAGTGATTGTTAACCCATTATTAAATTGATGATATTGTAATCCAAACAACCAATTTATTTTAAATTTTAATTGTAAGAAATCGTTTAAGTTTATTTTGATTTTTGTAATTGTATTATTATTAATTCTGTTTTTGTTTATTTTGTTTTTATTTTAATTGTATTATTATGAATTAATTTTTCCTACGTGTGATCATTTTTTACATTTTTGTCAAGTTAGAACCACATAACAGGATATATATTAATCGTACATGTCATGTTTGCTTTATAGTTGTACATTTAGAACTAAATATGTATTTAAATTAATAAATTGTATTCCCAAAATGTAATAACTGCCAGCAAACCTAATAATAAAAAATAAAATAAAAATAATTACTAGGCAATGAAGTCCGTTAAATAAAAAATGTTAACTTTCTAAAGAACTTTATTTATCTTAAATATTTCTACAATAATAAAACAAACAACATATTACTTCAAGAGTAATGGTTATAGTAAAATAAAACTTAACCTAATACAATTCAACTCATTAATGCATAATCGTCCAAAATAAAAACAAAAAGTTACCTGCACTTCAAATAAGATAAGAAAATATCTTTATAGAACCATTATCTCAAAAGGGGTGGAATAGTTCGCGTCCGTACAATATAACCAGAAAAAATACTACATGTCCCAATGGAATGTACGACTGGTAGGCGAATTAGCCTCATGTGGAAGCAAAATAGCTATTTACCGTACCATGATTAAACCAATTAGACTTACGGAATCCATCTACGGGGTACTGCTATCAATAGCAACAGAGATTCTCTAAACATACCAAAGTAGTACCTGACAAACAAACACTTACATGAGGAACTCAGGTCGCTTACATCAAATCATAGAACGATCGATATAGCGAAAGCTATCAGATGATCAACTCAGGCTAATGATTTGGTTTTCAAACTAATGGGCATAATAAGCATCACCCAATGGGCATAATGGGCATAACAGATAGAAACGGCATGGTGTCCTTTGGCATCCTTACCGTGACATTTTGGTGACACGAGAAAGTATTCGCAGGAATTAATTCTGCTGACACGACAAAGTTGACGATACCTCATCTGTAGGGTTTATTGTATTTACACAGATGACCAGATATCAGACGTGAAAAAAAAAACAATTATCCCACATATAATACTACATACTAGTAGAACATCAGAAAAAGTATGAAACATCAAGGGTTTAAGGAAGCTAAGAAAATTGTCAGAAGAGAAAATTGGAACAGAAGATTGGTTGAACATAAAGGTATGGTAGCATAGAGAGGAAATAAGATGAGACAGAATCATCAGAAGGCTTGATATCTATACAACCAGAGGATACATCTAGATACATCTAGTCGGATCTAGACGGTGAAGAAGAACACACTGACTCAACCTGTCTCAAAGCCAGAGAAATTGCCTACCAACAAAGCGGACACATTCAAAACGTTGCGAAGGACTTGCCGACAGACAAAGTCAGACAGTGATGTTTTTTTGGAAAAGTTGGTCCAAGTGAATCTGTCATGCCTCAATGAACGAACGAGAATTGAGAGGACAGACGTTAATGGAACAAATAATAAGGGCATTTACCTTAATAACTGGGAAAGTTGAAGCTATTAAAGTTTCAAATAATAGAATATTTACCTTCAAGGTGACAAACCAATATCTATCACACTAAGACTATTCAACATAGAACCAAAAACAGGTCTTCGAAACCACCATTGAAAGACCTCCAATAAGTAGTATTTACCTCATAATATCCTAGGTCTTACCAAATACCTAATTAAATATTGTACCAATGGAATAACTGAGGCGAATGCTTCATTATGGGAGCTCATCACTTACATGATATTCCAATCAGAACAATAGAAGAAGATTGCAAACCTTTACAAATTTCCCTAAAAACAGGCAATAGCCATAATTTTATGAAACATAATTAAATGAAATAATTTGTTGCCATTCTAAATAAAACAATACAATATTTAATAAAGTACAAATGAATTGGAAACATCATGAAATACATAGTTTGGTCCCTTTATTTTTTACACAATTGCAACATCAACCCTTAAAACTAAATCTTACACTAAGAGATTTTAAATCCATAATGAAATAGTAAAAGAAATCATTACATACACATAATAAAATATGTAAAGTAATACTAGAATGTAATGGCTTAGCTTGAAATCACAGAACAATTTGTCGTATAAAACTCTCCACACATATATAGGATATAAAAAATATATAGAATGTTCATCTATAAGTAAATTATCATCATAATACTTGACTGCAAAAACTTTGCTGCAACAACTACCAGCAGCATTTGAACTTGGGACTTTTCCCATATTAAAGTTAGATACTTGATCATTTGAGCTATAGTGTCCTTTAATAAATGCAAGTATCTTTAATACAAAATATGTATGAATACTAGTATTGCTACACAGAACATCAAGAGCTACAGTTAAAAGAAAATATCTCAGACACAAGTTAACAACTACTTTACTGTAATTTGTTCAGATCGAGTTGTGACAAGTATTAATATATAACATACTTAACTATAATCTAGAACATCAACATACAAAAATATCATTGTAAATCAATCATTTGCAGCTTCTTCGAAGGCAGTTAACAAATTCCGCCTGCATTTACTTTCATCGCTGTATCGTAAGGCCCAAATGATATACTCACCGGCATTTAGAGGGTCATCGGAATAACTTATTTGAACTTTACATCTGCGTTCCCATTTCATACAGTCGACGCTGTGTTTGTTCCTTGTTCTTGTGAACTGTATATAGCCATTACATTCAACGGCTAGCTTCGGCAGTTGACCATTCAGAGTTTCATGCATGTTTTCCGAGCTTGTGCCACTAGTTGATGGTTTACAATCCCCTTGCCCACACTCTAAGTTCGGTGGAGTTATATTAGCCTGTTTATGTTTCTGATTGAAGCTGCCATCCCCAAAATTGGATATATCATTGTTATTTTCATTACTCAAATGTTTTATATCCAGAGATATAGATTCATTGTTCTGTTTCTGTCTTTTACATTTAATTTCTGCTTCATCGTCAGGATTGCAACCGTCAGCCCATTGTGGACTGCCACAGATTTCAAGTTTTCTTTTGCCATTTCTTTGAGTATTTGGAATGTTTATTTCAGGGGAACTGAGAGGACTAGCCAACACTGTATCAGCCAAACTGTAAATGATACAAAACTATTAATTAAAGATAAATTTAATGACTTTAATAGTTTAATTATTAAATTGTCTACATACCTGTGTGATTGCTCATTCCTCGTCTGTATTTTGTCTGTAGCTTCAACAGTTGTGAAATCGTGTTTTGAACATTGCATGTCATATTTAAGGAATGTTGTTACTTTCTTTCTCGTTTTAACAGTTCTGCCGAACCATTCTAAGACGACGTCATCAGATAAATACAAACCAAGACTCTGTCGGTCACCATCAATCAGTTTCTTGTACCATGTAATAAAATTCCGAGCAGATTGTTGCTTTGAATGTGGGGTTGTGGGATTATCTTGCTTATCTTTTATTGATGTTGTTATTATTCTACTTTTTCTCTTCTGTGGGGTTTTCGGTAAATTTGACATGTTCTGGAAAAATTAATGCACATGTAAAAAATAAGCATACAGATTTGACTTATTCTAATAAGATATACTAACATGTATCACTAAGTATGTCTACAACACGCTGAGAACTTGTAGCCTGGTGAGCCAGATCAAATCGCAGCTCCTCTAACCGATTTTTACTTTCTTGTATGTATGCAGTAATTGATAAATTTATCTCTAGCAGTTCTTTGTGTAACTTGGTCACGTTCTGAGAATTTGCAAAAATATTTTCTGAAAATAATAAGCGTGTCATAGTAAAATTGTAGTGTAAAACAAATGAAATTGTCATTTTTCTATTTTCAAACAAACTTAACCTACTCAAACACTTTGCTGCTTCCAATGCTAAATGTTCACGATTCAAATCAACAGAAATTGATGAATTCATCTTACGAGTGACTTAGCCACTTAAGATACCATATGCATCGATTCCGAATATTATTATTGAAACTGAATGGGAATCTAATAATATTATTTTGTAACACCAAGCAACCCTTTTTGTAAGTTTTGTTTCAATTTGACACTGACGGGTATAAAAAAACGAAATTGGAAACCGAGCATTTACGTAAATGGACGACTTTTAATGAAGCTTGTTTGTGATTGGTCAAAACTTAGTTACACTAAGCGTCGTTACTATCTTGAAAACTTTTTTATTGCTTATGCTCACTATAGTCTATAGGTGTGTTTAAAAATATAACTATTAATCATATTAAATATTAGAAAATATTTAATTTAAAAATGAATTTTTGAAAAATAATATTTAGAAAAAATAATTTTTTTTTTATACATGTTACTGATAAAATTTTAATTTGATTTGTAATTTCTTATCATTAATAATAACTTAACCATTTCTGTCTTAACAAAAACCCTTTTTTGATAGCGCAGGAAAAGTCTTTTTACGAGCAACAAAAACCCTTAATGTTTTTTTGAGAAATAAAACAAGTGCTTTCATTTTAAAATATACAAACATTTCATTTTAGTAGCAAAATTGCTATGGAGGCTATTATCATTCAATGTTAAAGTTTAGGGCACAAAAATCTGTTGTCGTAATCTCTTAGCAAAATGGCATGTCTGTACAATATTATATCTAAGAGGTTTAGTCGTTTTTGGTACATAATTTTGTAAGAGACACATAGACACAGACCAATTATTACTTTTATATTATTAGCAGAACCGTTTTATATCCTTACTAGGCTTTTATAAAAGTAACTGTATAATTATGAAGAAGATTTACCATTTAAAACGTACCTAAAAAGGGGCTAATTATTATCTGAATGCTAACCACCCCAGCTAATTGTGATTTAACCATAGACAATAATAATTATGAGAATCAGTATTGGATAGCAGAGTAGGCGCGCTTCCCTGGGAGTGGTAATGTGTCGAACCAATCTACTGCGTCCTCGCGATCATTGACATCGGCCATTGGTCTATCCTTTGTCAACCAATCATTGAAAAACCAGTGAGGAATATCCAATGTAAGTTTACAATATTTGACGATTATTGTACAGAGATGGTCCGACCGTTGATTAAACTAAATGAAACATTAGGATTTATTTACAAAGTTTTTACATTTTGTAATGGAATTACTTGAAAAGCAGCCATTTTGATTACGTTGGCTTCTCTGGCCTCGCTAGTGACGTATGCCACATTTTCAGAAATTTTCCAAAGTAGGTACTTATATAGATACCCCGTGAAATGTACGTGAAAAATATATCACATCTACTTTTATCACGTTAATATATAATCATGATGTAAATGAATATCCAATAATACAACTTCCATATAGCTGATAAAAAAATAGGAAGTACCTATACTATACTTCCAGTATCAATTAACACAGTGATTACAAAGAGCATAATCTATACTGTTGTTCAGAAACTTAGAACATTAGTTATACCTTAGTTTTAAACTTGACGAAATTAAGTAGATTCGTATATACCATCCTAAAACACTTCGACAAGAGTACTCAGAATATCAATTAATAAACATTGCAGTGCAATGGAGCATGCACAGATACAAACGTCAGATGGTACACAAGTAATGACCATCAATGGCCAACAGCTTCAAGTACTGCAAATGAATAATAGCCCCCACATGATACAAGGTCCGAACGGACAACAGATAGTCATACATGCTATACCTTCAACTGCACCGGCAATACAGGTATAAAATCTCTATATCATATCTCAGTTCATATTAGGTACCAATATCCATATCATGATATTTTCTTAACATCATATATCTATAATAAGTTTCATTCATTTATATCATTAACATGTTCTATTAGTTAATACTGTAATATAAAAAATATTTCTTCACCGCCTCTCATATAACATCTTCATTTAAATTGCTATATATTTTTTATTTTGCACACGCATTCAGATTGGAGCCCCACAAATCCAGGTGGTAGTATGATGTTTCATTCATTCATTCATTAATATTTTTGTTTTTATTTTATATTGTTTATTTTGTTTTGTTTTTGTTTTATTTTGTTTTTACATTTTTGTTTTTGCTGTTAAAAAGAATTATTTAATTTTATTGAAGACTTATGTGTTATAAACAATTGTAGGTTGCAACTCCAACCGGGCAGCAATTACAGCAATTACAAGTACTGCCACTATCTAGCTTACAAGGTAATATATAACTTACATAATATTTTAATAGCATACTATATTAATATTATGGCTTAATTGTATGATAATATTCACACATTTATATTAAATTTACACACTTTATTTGTACACATCACTTTTACACAGTGTATTATTAGAGGCGTGCCCAAGCAGCCTCTCTTTTTAATTTATCTATATTTCTTAGTGAGAAATATTTACGGACTCAGATATTATTTGTCTTTTTTTTTACTGTATTATTGTTTATATTTTTTATTACATTCCTGTCTTCTGTTTTTTTCTCCAATAAACTAAAAATATAATAAATTATCAGGTACAAGCAACAATATACAGCCGATGCAGTTAGTTCAGACTCCTGATGGACAAACATTCATCTATCAACCTACTGCAAGTGCGCCACAACCACAGATTGATCAGCATCAAATTATTCACCAACCTGGTAAGAAATTACAGCAAATTTTGATATAATTAACATATAAATGGATTTTTATTACTGTTCCATCACTAAGTACTGCACTAATTTTGTTAAAATTTAACAATATTATAGCATAACAAAATAAAGTCTATCTTATATACAGTCATATAATTTATTTATGTAGTATATTATGTAGTATATGATATAACTAAGTAAATACTTAAATTACTTAAACCTAATTTTAGTAAACCTTATACATATTTTCAGGTACCCTATTAAATTTGAATGGAAATTTGTTACAAGTGGCAGGTGTGGGTGGAGTACAACCACAACAAATTGTTAATCAACCAAATATAGTTATGGTAAATATATAAAAAATATTATTTTGCTATTATAATTATTATTTTTTAAATTATTGGTTACAATTTTAATATAAATATTAATATCGTTTTTAATTTTTTATTAATACTAAATTAAATATAGGTAAATTAATATAACATTTAGTATAAGTAATAAATTGTATGTAATGAGCATTATATTGTCTGGCTATCAGTGTTTTAATATGCGTACATAAGCACTTAAAACAGTGATAGCAAAGATATTGATAAAAATATATATATTTTTTGTCACTCCATAACTATATTCTTAAAAATTAAGTTTTAAAATGTTTGGAGTTTTCAGTTTTTAGTGTTGTTTTATATTTCATGTAAATAGTATGGTCAACATATTACATACAGGTGTGATTTTTTAAATCTACAAAATAAATGTTGAATGTTTCAATCTTTAAATATTAATTACTTAACCAACTTCAAAACAATTAGGTTCTGAATTCAACTGTAGAGTTTTCTGAAACATAATTATAGTTAAATGCTTGATATTTATAATAAATAATGTAAATTTTTTAACCAATTAATATTTCAGATGGTAAACGGCAACACGGCTTCATCGAGTGAAGGTGCCACATCAACAGCTGGTTCTGACGAAGAACCTTTACTATATGTTAATGCAAGACAATACAAACGTATACTGAAAAGACGAGCCGCCAGAGCTAAGTTACATGAACAAGGGAAAATACCTAAAGAAAGACCTGTTAGTATATCTTCTATCTTCTATATCTATAAATGAATTGCTGTTCGTTAGTCTCATTAAAACTCGAGAACGGCTGAACGGATTTATCTTATCTTAGTCTTGAAATGTTCGTGAAGGTTCAGGGAAGGTTTAAAAACTGAAAAAATTGTTTCATTTCCGGGAAAACACTAAAAACAGCCCTTTTCTATTTCCCATACAAACGTTTTTTTGACATTAGATTTGACAATTAACTAATATATCAACCATTCTGTTCTATTGAAATAGTTAAAATTTAATAAATACCAATACCTGGTTATTTAAGACGGAATAGAGTTCGCCCGGTCAGCTATACACATATTACTAATGACGAAATTAACGCGGACGAAGTCGCGGGCAAAAACTGGTACTTCATAGTTATTAACATGTAATATGTACTAAATAATAATGAATCTTCAATACATTTTTTTTTATATTATTATCTTTGATATTACAAGCGTAGCATCCATTTAAAATTAATCAATGGTACATTTGTTTTATATATATTTTTTAAATTCATTCCTTAATATTGTATGCAAAAAGCATGAAATATCATTAAAGGAAATTGTGTGATGAACTAATATTAATAAATTCTATTCATTATTTTCTACATAATTAATTAATAATAATGTTTTATTTAATAAATTATTATTTATTACAGAAATATCTTCATGAGTCAAGACACAGGCACGCCATGAACAGAATAAGAGGTGAAGGAGGAAGATTTAATTCCGGCAGTAGGAAGTGAGTTTGATGTTGATCGTAATAAATATTATAGTATTTATATATGATCCCTACTAATATTATAAATGCGAAAGTAACTCTGTCTGTCTGTCTGTTACGCTTTCACGCCTAAACCACTGAACTGATTTTAATTAACTTTGGTACACATATAGAGTTGACCTTGTGAAAGAACATAGGATAGTTTTTATCCAAGACTTTTGAAAGGTTCTCTTGGAAACGCGATATAACCGAACTCCACGCGGGCGAAGCTGCGGGCGGAAAGCTAGTATTAAATATTTTAATATTATTTCAGGAATATGGAACAACAGGAACAGAATACATCTACACAAGCTATATTGGATGACATCAAGCCTGATACAGTGTCTATAACAATAATACAGGTACATAATAATATTACTCATAGTATATTACTCAATAGAGTCATATATACTTTCTAAGAGTATTTAGACATCACTGACAGTTGGTGAAGGAAAACATCGTGAGGAAACCTGGACTTCACAATTATAAGTTTGAAATCACCAACACATCTTGAGCAAGTGTGGTGATTAATGCTCAAACCTTCTCCATGTGAGAAAGAGGCCTTGCTCATCAGTGAGCTCTGATAGGATGACGATGATAATGATATAATGTTATCATACATAAATTTACATACATAACATTAGTACTGTATCTTTACTTAAAATACTAGAAATTAGTAATATAATTGTGATTAAAAATACATTAATCTATTTTTCAGGATGAAGAATTACAAGAGACCCAAACAAATCAATGGCGAAGACTTGCACCACAACCGATGACATCAACATAGCACATAGAGATAGAAATACATTCTGATAAAATGAACTGAGTATGTGGATATGTGATCATCACAACAAACAAAGACTGTTGAATTAGTGTTTAAATTATATATAATATATCATTGGTTTGTTTATAAAGGTGGCACTTCACTTGGCGTTGTGTATTTGCGTATTTGTTGTGTTTGCCCAGATAAGACCATGTGTGGACGATTTATTTGTCTTCATTTGTCATGTTTGCACAAATAAGACACATATACGAATAAGCGAAAACGCTAAGACGTGTTGTTGGTATGCCAAGTGTGGATGTCATGTTTGCGCTATTTGGACTACGTTACAAATATTTGGACAAATACGGCGAATACGCAACGCTAAGTGTAATGGCTCCTTAACACTAAAAGGTATTTGCAATATATTTAATATTTTCCCTTATAGTTTTTAAGTGTTCAAACATCTTTTTCTTTTGTAATAAGTTGTATTATATGTTTATTGTTGAATGTCTGTTCAAAATTATTGTGTGTTTATATTGTAAGTATGGTATAGGTGTAGGTGTCACTTGTAAGGGTTTTTGATGAAATTTTAACCATTTTTAATTTAATTTTTAATAATCTGTGTGTTACCTAAAAATTATAATGAAATTATCTTTTTATATCAAGCTAGAACATAATAATCAATTTTTTTGGAGTTGTTTCATTCACTTATACAATGTAGAATATATTTTATTAATTTTATTGTTGAAAATAATAAACCACATTTTTTTAGTAATTTAACCTCGTGGTAAGATTATGTGATTATGTAAATAATATTTTAAAAAATTTTAGGTCTAAACATGTGTCATTTTATATTGCAAAGTACAAAATATAAATAATGCACAATAAAAAGTCTGTTTTAGTTAAAAACCATTTTATTTTGTTATTAAATCTAAAGTATTTCAAAAGTGTATATATAAACTACAATAATGTTACTATCCAATTAACCATAAATATTTAACAAATCACAATGAAATCAATTGTTTAATAATAATAATAAATATAATTCAGGTTGGCATTATGTACCACACAGTATTTTTGATTAAATTGTAAAACAACATTAGAAGAAAGACATTTTCTCTTAAAAAAAAATGGATGTATATAAATTAACAAAATTAAAAAAATACATTAACACTATACAAATTAATATTATAATTGAAAATTAACAGCTTACAGTGTAAGTATTGTTCGACTCATTTTTATACATACACATATATATATATTATGAAGTTATACAGGGTGTTTATTTTAATATGTTCTATTGTATATTACTGAGGTCTAGCGTTATCTCTGACACGTTTAATCTCTGTTTGTATCGCTGATATGATAGGCAGCGCGGGGTCGAGCGGCTGTAGGCGACCCTCCGCTACTATCAATGAAGGGTTGACTTGTGGCACACGGATAGATGACTGGAAATATATATAATGTTATATCTTTATATATATAAAAATTTCGTGTCACGTGTTTTTCCGCGATGCACTCCTAAACTACTAAACCGATTTTAAATTTGATTTGCATTCCGTGTGCATTTTGATCCAACTTGAAAGATAGGATACCTTACAGCTCAATTTATAGTCACAATATTATTTTATTGCAAATTAGGTATTTGTCTATTAAAGAAAATTATTTGTCATTATTACAATTATCTGTTGACTGAGTTAAGTATTCAATAGATGGCGCTATGTTAAAAATACAAACGTCATATATGAGCGACTATTTAATAATAGCATAACCACCACGTTTTTCTGAGGCTAAGGTATTTCTTGATTATAGGGCGATACGAAGTTAGTAGTCTTCTAGTATAATATAAATTTAGGGAACACACATTTAATTTGAATCAAACCTTTAAATTCCCGAACGCGCCCGAAGTGATATGAAAGCGATGACGTTTGGTTTGTACATTTATACGCGGGAAAGTATTTTGTCGACGTGACTTGTGTTTTCAGTTTTGGTAAATTGAATTAAACGTATTTAAGATGTTTTGGTTTAAAATAACAATTAGTTTGTTCTATTGAAGGTTTGTTACGTTATTTAAAGTACTGGCTTTATAAGAAAATTATTTTTTAATGATTTTGTTAGATTACTAAATATATCTATCTATATATGTATAAAGAAAATATTGTATGAATAATTCATTTACAAAAACAGGATTTGAACCTGCAACTTCCATTATATCGCGTTAACCTATCATGACAATAAATTTTTTAATCGATTCGACAATTTTAGTTAATTAATGTTAGTTATTCTTATTTTAAATACGAAGTTATCGAGAGCTCGTTAGCAGTTATAAAACCATATCGATAATAGGGAAGTTAAGTGTCGATATGTTATCGATGTTTTTATATTACCGTAGGAGCGTCACTCCAGGCGGCCGAGGGCGGAGGCCTAACGGAGCGAGGGGCTGCGGTGCGGGCTCTGGACGAGGGCTCCAACATTGACGGACGACTGGGGAGAGGAATTTTATTGTAATAATACGCTTACTAAAGAAGTTTCAATCAGTTTGATGTCAAAAACACTTCTAAGTTCTAATACGTACGTACGTCACTTTAAAATAGGGATGGAATTAATAAATAATATACTTATATATTTTTTTGTAAACGTTTTACGGCTCTGGGTACGAGTGCTTTTGAGCCCTATCCTAATAAAATATCATTGACTTTATAAAATAATAATCAACTTAAACCAAATTGCTATTATAAAAAATTTTGTCTATGAATTGTATTGCATAAAAATTATATTAGTTTTCATCTCAAACTCATGTATAATATGTTTAATATTATAATAGTAGGTACCTCAGTCCCGCCGAACTGCCCCTAGTGGTAGGAACCCTCACATCTTCGTTACGAGCTTGTGTTACTAACTCAGGAACTGGTGCAAGATAGCGAAAATTATTTACAAGATAAAGATATTATATACAAAGATATGGTTAATTTGATATTTTTTTAATAGTAACATGAATTAATCAGACACAAAAATAAATATGGTGATCATTTCTTAATTATGTAATACTAGCTTTTTCCCGCGACTTTGTCCGTGTTATTTTGGTGATTAGTAATATACATATGTATAAGTGACGGGAGAACTCTATTCTTACCCAACGGCCATAAATAACCATACATTGGAATTAAGTTTTTTTTCGATCGAACAGAATTAAATATCCTATGTCCGTCTCCTGGTTTTAACTTTTTAAGCTACCTCTCCACCAATTTTCAACCATATCCCTACAGCCGTTCTTGAGTAATACATAATGTAACTAACTTAAATTTATTTTATATACATACTAGTAAACCTGGCGAACTCCGTTTCGCAACCAGAAGGCTTTTATATAACATTTCGTTTGGTGATTAAAAGATGAAGAATTTTTTGTTTTATATTTGAAAAGGAAAATTTTTATTTAATTTCACAACAGTAATGATTAATGAATTCATTTCGATTACAAAAATGAAGTGTTATTTAGTTGAACTTCTCTAAGTAAATGAAAGTGAATCCAAAGTAGATACCGAATCGAAACGTTATACGTGTCCGCAAATTATCCATTTTATTGAAGTGCTCCTTTGTAAACCACATTTTTTGTTTTTTGGTCTTACTTTAACACAAATAAAGCGTATGGTTTCCAAACTCGTGAACACGCAAAATATAACGCCCACGTGAAAAACAATGATTTTCTAAATTTATCCCGCAAATACTAAATGGTTTTAAGAGTTCAAACTACAAACACATTACCTAAATATTTTTATTTTTATATAGTAGATTTCTTACAAATATCTAATTGTCATCCATACGTCATTACATATCTGTCATTATACGTCAATTGCATAGCTGTCAATTGTGTTATTCCACGTTTTATAGTGACTGACGTTTCATGTCAAGTCCCACGGGAATGCTGTCGAACGGGATAAAAAGTATCCTATTGCAATTTCCTGGTTCTAAAATACCTCCCTGCAGATTTTCAGCTAAATCGGTTCAGCCGTTCTTGGGTTATAAGTGGAGTCACTAACACGACTTTCTTTTATATGTATATATAGATATTATATAGCTTTCAGGGTTAGAATTATTTTTTAATATAAATATGCTGACCGTGATCAGTGTCTCTCTTGTCAGTGGCGCTGGAGGCGCTGCCAAATAAAGTGTAGGCGTCATCCATGAGGTCATTGAACCTCTGCCTCATACGACTACTGGCTACTTTGGATTGAGCTGGACTTGATGGTTTTGATGCTGGAATTAAGATTATAGAAGTTTCATCACATAACACTTGATATATATAGATATACTAGCTGCGCCCCGAGGTGTTACCCGTGGATTTGAATGTAAAGTAGCCTATATGTTATTCGTATACGTCAGCTTCCTGTATACGAAATTTTAACAAAATCGGTTCAGCCGTTTGAGCGTGAAGAAGTAACAAACATACACACACTAACAAACTTTCGCAACTATAATATTAGTAGGATGTTCTATGAAGAAGATAATTCCTATATTAAATTATTTATTGTGCTTTATTGTAAGGAAAATAGGAGACTCGGCGAACTTCGTATCGCCCTATATTTGTCAAATCTAACGTCAAAAAAAAGTTTGTATCAACAACTGTTAATAAACTAAAAATTAATTAAAAAAACATTGTCCAGCGGACAAAATTGTGAATCTAAACCATTCCCAGATCCAATTGAACACACACAAAAAATTTCATCAAAATCGGTCCAGTCGTTTAAGAGAAGTTCAGTGACATACACACTCACAGAAGAATTATATATATGAAGATAACAGAATTATACTGACTGTCTTTGATTCTTTGGCAATGAAGGTCCCAAACTAAAGGTCCAATAACTCCGGGGTCCTTATCAATACTGCCGAGCCTCACCAGCTGAGATGGCATCTGTCTTCTAGGGACCACGTCCTTGGATTTTTTGGGGGTCGATGATGAAGACTCCAGGTCCAAATGACGAACTGATATCGGCTCCAGGATTTTGGACAGAGGTTCTACCGCGTTACCTCTAGATATTTTAGGTCCAAAAATGACGAAAATTATAAACACTAAAATATCTGAACAATCTAGTTCTGATATAAATAACAGTCAAAGTTTTAGAAGAATAATAAAAAAAACTGTCAGATTGTTAATAAATTTACATAAAAGCCACAAATTAGTAATATTTAAATATATTTTTAGTTTTTACCTTGGAAAAGCATTAACAGAAGGCATTGAAAGATATGAGGTAGGTGTTGGAGGTGAGCCGGGGTCAGAACTATCCACGCCTGCCGCTTGAAGGAGACTATCTGTAGTACCCACCGCTGAGGAAAGAATGTGGGAAAAATGAAAAAAAAAAAGAAAAAATGTTTATTAACAAAAAAAAAAACAACATTATACAAAGAAATGTCCGGTGGTGCCCACACTAGGTATTCCTGTGTCGTGGGTACCAATTGATAGATTTACACTACATGTTTATTGTTGTCGCTCAGCTTAGAATATAAATTACATAATTGTTTAAGATACATTGCATAACTTAAGTAGAATTAACTTACAAGTGGTCTTATGTTAGTGAATAGGTGCTTTTTTAAGTGCAAGAAATGTTTTTCAGTGGTATCATAGGTCAATGAGGAAAGCCAAGAAATAATTTTTGTTTTGGCTTGTTTAACGGAGCAATGTTTAATGTCACAAGCGTTGGCTACTTTATTGTAAATAAAAGATTCAATGAAAGGACTGAAGCGTCTAGCAAAAGATGTCTTAAAAAATAGATATAGAATGATAAAATAGATACAGAATGTGGGAAATGTTAGTATGGAATGTATATAGACCCAATAACAACATATTTCATGATTCATTTTGGGAATATTTCGTTTGAGCGTGATAGTTGGAAATGCAGTTTGTTTTGAAAAATATATAGGGGTAAGAGGAAAACATAATGAATAAATTGACCCCAAAAAAAAAAACTAGTGTTTACTTCTTTTAGTAGGGACAAATAATAAAAACTATATTGTCATTCCAAGAAATTATTTTTCTATAGACCTATTAGTCACTGGTTAAATGAATATTATGAAATATAGTAAGTATTAAATATATAATACAAACCTCGTTTCCTGTGAGCTATTCTCAAGGCGTGTGGCTTCTTATGTCTTCTTCGTAATGCGGCCGCTAGCTCCGAAACACCCGAAGATGATGATGATGAACTATAAATATTATTAATACTTAAGAAATTAGACTATACAATTATAATTAATACATAAGAAATTAGACTCAATTAATGAGTTAGTAAATTTTATATCAGTTTCAGACAAAAATTAAGAAATTAAAAGGATGTAATCCGTAATAGAGGAATTATTATTAGATCACAAAAAAATTGTCGTAAAACCCAAAAAACTTGAATGAGCGAAATTGACATGTAGGTAAACAATGAGCTAAATTTAAATGAAACTATTTTTTTACGGTTGCTGAAAAGTAGTCGAAACGCCAGAAATAGTAGTATAGCCGAAAAATATTACTTACATTTAAATGAATAAAACTCGCGAAATCAGTAGATCTGTTTATATGATAAAAAATTCATATCTACATTACCTATATATAACGATGTACTTTTATAATTATAACTCAACATACCCTGAAACACTGCCCGTTCTATAGACAGGTAACATAACACTACTAGGCCTCGTCCTATTGGGTGACACGACACTCACTAACTGAAATATAAATACAGTTATAAAACACTATCCGCGCCTCGCGGTGTTACCCGCGGATTTCCAGGTTATAAAGTAGCCTATGTGTCATTCCTGGTCGTCAGCTTCCTGTATACAAAATTTCATCAAAATCGGTTCAGCCGTTTGAGCGTTAAGAAGTAACAAACATACACACATACAAACTTTCGTAATTATAATATTAGTAGGATAATTAAAATTTCCAATACATCTTAAATTAAAAGTCCTATCCCATGTAATGAACAAAAAATCTTCAAAGTGAATCGTGTGTGATTTAATTCAATACCTTTCCGTCTTTTTCGTCTGTAATTTGTTTCATTTGTTTCCTCTCAGCCTCCATCATCATCTCGTGATGATAGGCGCGTATTGACGCCGCTGATTTTATTTGCTTTCTCCTGAGTAACAAAATTATTGCTGTTAAAAGCTCGGGTGTTAGATTAGTTTATTTAAACCTTCCAAAAATAGATTAATCCAGTTAATTGTTAGCACTTGAAGAACAAATATTAAGTGTAACTTCTCATTAAGCAGACCTTCTGAGAGAATAACAATAAGTAAATAGAAATGATGTATTCATTGAGTAAAAGTGCTCAAAGTTTTAGGGAAATCTATTTCCTGCTCCTTCCACTAATTAACGTTTTTCTTCTAAGCAAGTAATAATGGTTTTGGCAGATACATCAGATAAATTTTCACTCTATTCCCAATTGGAAAATAAATATTCTACGACGGATTTCGAAAATTTTGAACATCAGATAAATAGTGGGTTTTTTGGTCTATGAAAATGAATGATCTAAGGAATCATACCTCCGATGGGCGAAGCATAGAAGAATGAATAGCACCAGGAGTAATAGAATAGCTACTACGGAGCCTACTAGCAGGGCCCATAGTTCTGTTCCTTGTACGGAACCCGCTGCCTCTAGACCCTCGGCAGCCTTCAGGTAAGCTGCTGGTTCACGGGTAATGAAACGATAACGAGAGTATTATAATAATAATAATAATAAACTTTTATTGGTTAAAAGAAAGATTACACCACTACAAAACAAACAACAGAATAAAAATCAATAACAATAATGATAAGTGTGCAGCAGTGTATATCTAACCAAAAGGAGAACCACCCAATGAAAAATAGAAGCAATGTGGCTTCTACAATGATTTTCAGTGATCTCCTAAGGTTATTGATATATCTACTTGGATATATAGTGAACACTCACCCAGAAGAATATATTGTATTGTTTAAATTAACTATGTTAATCATCATGCATTGTTATTGAATGCGTTTTTGTTAAATGGTCAGCACTAATGTTACTGTAATTTCAATATATGAAGATTTCAGATTTCAACATTCAAGATTAGTCTCATATATGTATAAACAGTTTCCAAGAAAGCAGTAAGTTATTTTAAGTTTTAACATCTTCTATTGGAATCTTCTATTGGTTTATGGACATTACAATGAGCATTTAATATTTATCATCAATTTAAAATACTAATTTATTTACTTTTCATAAAAAAATACGTTGTTAAGATTAGGATAAATTTTCTTAACCAGCCTAATGTTATATTTTTTGATAGTAAAAAAATCGTCATTTTAGAGCGTCTATATTAAAAAATAAAACTTGTCTACGATTTATATAAGTACCTATTCGTTATGCATTACATTTTAATGCAACAAGGTGGATTGAACATATAAACCAGAACAGACAAACAATATTAAAAAAAAACAAAACAAAGTTCCATCCACCAAAAAAGCCACACTCACGCTCCGCCTTAGTCGTCACTATAGCCCCAAGTTCAGTGGCTACTTCCGCGTCCCTCACGAGCCTCATATCTCTGGCAGCCACAGCCGCTGGAACTGCCCTTCCACCGACCAAGACCACGTACACAATCTGTACGCTGCCCGTAGACTGAGGGAGTTCATTATATACTGGATGAACCTGATCTCATCAATTTCGTCACGTAAAGTTTAAAATATTGATCTGATTTGACTCGACAATAAATGGAAATGGATTATGGCGAACAAATAATGAAGTGCTTGATATAATGGTCGTCTTATAATTATTTGTATACGATGGGATTACAATTTAATTTGGAAATCAATGAGTTATTATGAGAAAGTAAAAAAAATATTGGTAATACGCCTCTACCTGATAAAACTCTTTATATGGACATAATAAAATCTATTTTTAAATCATATATTGGGATAAGAGGTGGTAGATATTATTTTTATTTAGGAATACAAAGAAAACTGCCATCTGTTGTATATAAAAGGGCATAGAATAACTTAATTCTAAACTAAATCTTGTGTTCAATAAGTCACATAGGATAATTTCACACTAATTCATATATAATAGTAACCATTCAATTACCTCAGTAATATTTTGTATTTGCACTTGGACTGGTGGCTGTTGCTCTGGTTTGATAATTTCTCGTTTGAACAGAATTGTATCATTAACATCATCTTCTAGAGGTAGATCTATTATATCTTCTTTATCACTAAATTCTACTTCTTCTACGCTTCTCTTATTAACTACTACTGTTGGTGTTACTAAAAACCAAGATTCTACTTCACTAGATTTAGTGCCTTTGATCTTATCATTACCTACAGAGAATACTTCTATATTATCTAATTGTTTACTATCTTGTGAAATATTAAAACTATATGAGGCGTTTTCATTATTGTACATAAAATTATTGACATCTAAGTCGTCTAAAGTAGAACTTTCTATTTCATAAAATTTAACAGGTGTTTTGGCAGTGTTTGTATGAATTTCTTTAAATTCTTTGGCTTTGTTTACAACGAAAGAATGTACTTCGTGTTTCTTTCTGGGTGGAGCATCTAATGATTTTATTATGCCTAGATGTCGTTCTTGTTGTCTGAAATATGAAAAAAATATATATTAATTCCAAAATTTTCAAGGACCTAATTATTACTATTATCTACAACTAGCTGCGCGCCGCGGTGTTACCCGCGGGTTTCCGGGATTTCCGGGATGTAAAGTATCCTATGTGTTATTCCTGAACGTCAGGTTCCTGTATACAAAATTTTATAAAAATCGGTTCAGCCGTTTGAGCTTGAAGAAGTAACAAACATACACACACACTCACAAACTTTCGCAATTATAATATTAGTTAGTTATGTACTTAGAAGAGGTCAATATAATATGGTCGATATGGTCTATTCTGATAGGTACCTCAAGAAAGCCTTCTGATATAACCTGGCTAACTTCAACTGTAGGCTGTCTGGCGTTGTTCCCTGTATGACAGTGAGGAGCCAGTACCTCCTATCTTCGGGGATGTCAGGGTCCAAACTGTTCGGAGTCACCTCGCCACTCGAACCTATTGTCACCGCCTGCATCGACACTCTGTGGTTAATGCAAATATACGATAGCTTTTGACTCTGATAAACATATTTTGATGTCTAACTCTGTTTGCTATTAAAATAGACTACATTCGATAGAATTTTTTTTTTGGTAGGATTGTTACTTCAGTTTTTTCTAACAATAAGTAAATAAATTTTATCTGCAAAGTCCTAGTTGCACGAATTTGAACATTTTTTTTTTCAATCTTCTTCGGTTCAAAAGAACACAAAGTTTCATGAATAAGAAATTTAGAAAAAGACGGTTGTGAGCTCCATAACATTCCTACCTCTGATCAACATTATAAATCTAACAAATCAACTTAAAGTATTGGTTTTCATAGTACTGTTTTTATATCGCTGAATCAAATTTGAATTCATTATGCTTTTTCAAACAAACAAATAACTCAATAACTATTCATAGCGAAATTTGCCACTAAATAGCAAAGTAAATGCCTTGCCGAATCAATTAAATTACCTGAGGCGGATATGAATCCAGGTACACCGTAGCGAGTACTGTCGTAGTTTGTATGATGGGGGCGGTAGGTGTTGGAACAGATGAAAGGTCAGGGGGCGAAGGACCGTCCCCTGACCCCGTCCAGAAGAAGTCTTCGAGGCGAGGAGTACGTGTGTGATGAAGCGCCATATCCACTGAAGGTATATAATGCTATCATCGCTATGATATTAGTGGTACAAAAAAAGAGGTCCTAAAATCTATGCATTGGCGTTATTATAAAAACTCTTTGGTTTCATAATTATTGTTAAAATTAAAAAAAAATCAGACTGTTTAGAATTAGAATAGAACTATGTTATATTAGTGATATCATCAGTATGAGATTAGTGATACAAAAAAAGAGGTCCTATAATCTATGTATCGGCATTATACTTTTTTATTGTATAAACTGTTTGGTGGACATAATTTTTGTTAAAATAAAAACGAAATCTGACAAAAAAAAGTTTAAAAGGAGAATAAAACTATGTTTGAATTTCGCTATAAATACGACGTTTGGTTGACAACGAGTTCAGTGAGTACGGACCATTGAAGAATGTATATACTATCTTCGAGAAATACAAGAACATTTAGAAGAATTTACCATTTTATTTCGAAATATCATAGAACGATGCGGACGTACTTATCTCCCTTTAATAACAACGAACTTGTATTAAATTTCATATATGCAATATTTATAAATAACTTTTACAATAATTATTTCAGTGTCTTATATTTTGTAAGGGAAAGTCTATACTGTCTTTTCTACATAACAAGACGTTAAACAGATGGTATCGCGTGTTTTCCCGAATACTAAAGTTTATTGACCTCGTTGTTACTGCCAGGTTTTGAGGTATGATGTCTAAAACGTAGGGAGACAGCGTTGTTAACTTTGAATAGAAATATTTTTAATTTATTGCATAATATTCTTGAATTTATGACATGACAATCAATATAAAGAGATAGGTTATTTGTATTAATTTAATATACTAAATATTTAAAAGTATTCATAGAATTCAAACTCTTTCATAATTCGCAATACGTAATTAGATTCGAATAAGCAAATTTCCATTCCATCATTGCACTATAATTTCCTTTAATCTGATATAATATAAACATTATACGTTCAATAATTCTTTCATGAATTAAACAAGCGAAGGGTGGATTACGGAACCACCCTGTACCATCCTCGTGGTTGTAAAAAGAAAAGGCATTTCCTCGAAACGTTGTACTAGTTTAAGTTAAATCCAATTTGCTATATTACTTGGCATCAAATTTTCTAATGACTTGCCTTTCCCCTTTTCCCTCCCTTTCCCACTTTTTTATCCCCCTCTTCCATAATAAAGGATAGCGATATATCCGCGACATAAAAAATATTTCGAATATCCATGGGCGACGGTACTACCCACATCAGGTAAGCCGTCTACTCGGTTGCCCCCTTTTACCATTAATAAAAAATTACTTAATGAGATATAAGATTTTCGCGAGTACTCATTTAAATGAAACTAATATTTTCGGATTTTACTTCGTCGTCATCACATCTCGTCTGCCCGTGATCACGGTTGCTGAAAAGTAGCCGAAACGTCGGGAGTATGTAGTTCGTAATCAAAAATAAAAAACGCGAAGTAAAATCCGAAAATATTAGTTTCATTTAAAAAATGACTTATTAACTACAATAGTATGTTATACAGGATGTGTGACCGTGTTATTTCATATAAAGCATGTAACAGCAAATAATTCGGTATAAACCCATTCGTCTTTTGTATTTCAGCGGATGGATGACAACGCATCGACGCACGCGCAGCCATGCGGGACGGGATGATTTAATTAGTTGTTTTAAAAAATATTTGCATTATTGTCTATGATAGATGTTTGTTATGGCCAGATTAAGTGATATTCATTTTTGAGCATTGTATATTTATATATGTATATGTATATGTTAGCTGAATTATTTCATATATAGAAAGATTGTAATGCTTTAAGCTACTGATATATAATTAACATACTGAACTTAACTTAATCAACTAAAAAATATTATTAATTGTTCTCATATCACTTACTAAAACCTGTCTTGAGTTGTTTATGAAGAAAACAATGTTCCAAAAATCATTTTACAAACATATATACGAACAAATATGTAATATACAATACATATGTACATTATGAATAGAGGTACTTATTGATTTTGCTTCTATTATATATTAATATATTAAAGAAATTCTTAATTTATCTTTACATTACAATCATATAAAAAACTAAATAATTATTTCTAGCTGTACTGTAATCAGAAATATAATAAACAGAGTACATATTACAGATATTTTTTTTTATTAAACAAGATTTCCTTTGTTAGTCTTACACTTAATACTTTACTATTATGAAAGTGTCACAATTAAAGTTGAAAATATACTCACACTTGTCCAGATCTATGTGTTCGTTTTCATATGCAATTGTTAAACGTATAAAAAATATTTTTATAAAAATTATGTCTAAAATTAACATATTAACTGCGTTGAATATCAAATATAACGACTTATTCTATTTTTCAGGTATAACGATCAATTATGAGACATCATGATTTTTTATTTGATTAATTTTACTGTATAGTATTTGTATATCACATTACTATATCCATCAACCGCTTGTAATAAATTTCTGAACACTACTGTGCCTTTTATTTTTTGAATCGTGCACGCGTCGCGTAGCAACCAAATTAAATATCGCGCCCCGGTTCCACAGAGCATAGACGTTGTTAGTTTCGTTTTATTTATGGATGATAACATTTTACTGTGAATTAGAAATTAACCAGGTGAAATAATTTAACAGCATAAATTTAAATTTTAGTTGTTATATCATTTAAACTAGTATTTATTATTATATTTATTTACATTGGTGTATTATACGGAATCTTGTAATGTTACATAACTCATGAGTGTTTATATTTTTTAGTACGGAAAACAAGAGATAAAATATAATATTCTGTTATTTCAGTGTCTCATAAATTTGTCTATATTTAATTTTAATTTAACGAAATAAATTCCATCTGTTTGTTAAAAATGGTATAAAATCTAAATTGTTACTGGCAACACTTTACTTTCCATCATACGCTCCGCCTCCACCATTCGTGAGGTGCAGCGCCTTCGTGTGAGTTCGTCGCTTCCGTTCGTCGGAGTTGCGACGTGTACGGGTGTGTGCGAAAGTATGAAGTGAAATCGTACTTAAAGTGTGTGAAATGTTTAGTGTAAGTTATTATTGTGATTCAAAACCAAAATGAGTGCGAACGGTTAATATTCATACTTTATATTGACTTCCGGACTCAACACAAACATAGTACAAGTATCATTTGTAAGAACGGTTTCAAAATGGCTGTGTTTTGAAGGACCCTTTGTCCGCTTTCGTTCGCTTCTCCAGCATGATAGTGGGATCGTACAGACAGCAGTTTATCTTTGAAAGGTGAGACACGTTTCTACGGAGGTTTCTCGCAAAAAATCGGAGTGGAAAATTACTGGTTGCCAGTGAATTGCGGCGGCGTTATTGCTTTCTATAGCGCGATATCACACCGCTCACTCGCTACGTGTGAGTTTCTAAAAACATTGAATGTTGTTGTTCATTCAGCAGTATGTTTTATATGAACAAATCATTTCTAGCTCGCTATTGTTAGTTTTTCTTATTCCACGGATCGTCATTGCCGATTTGACACGTTAGTTTGTCATTTGTTGGGAATCATGTGTTTTATATTTATCGGCTTATGATCGTTTTTAAAAATATGGTTTCGTAATCCAATTATATTTGGGGCTATTGGGAAATAGGTATTACAGAAACAGGGAAGTCGTGCGTCATTAGCATCGTTATAAATGCTAAATTTATCAAATACTCATTTGTTTTAGTATCTTTTTAAACAAACGTTTAGGGACTAATAAATGGATATTTAAAGAAAATTATTCAATCTCATTTGTTCATCATACATACTACACATATGTTACCATATATAAAGCCAATTATTGTATAAACATATATAACTTAATATGATTTTTCTGATTGTTTTCTAATTTAAATTCATATTGGCACACTAATTGGTATATTTGTTACAATTATAAAAATGTCCCATTTCAGTTTTATTTTTCTTAATTTATTTACATATCTTTATAAAGATGATTTATTATATTAGCATTATTTTAAGGTTGTATCCAAAGATTCAATATTGCAGAAGATGTAAGATTAAAAGTGTGTTTGTGTTCAAATAAGAAAAAAAAATAATTGAATTGGAAGGAGTGATTGTTGTTTTACAAGCTTAATAATATTTAAATTGATTATGATACTTTACTTTTAATTAGTATATGTCTAAATAACTATTACTCTAAATATAAGATGTATTTTTATTTTTAAAACCTTTTATTACCATCATATTTTTTAAATACAATTTTAAGAGGAAGTAATTTTTCAATATTTTTGATTATGAATGTTATTTAGCTGGTTTAATGCTTAAATTCATAACATCTGTCACATTGCTCCAATTGCTCAGTTTTAATATTAAAAATTGCTCAGATTTAATATTAATTGCTCAGATTTAATATTAAAAATTAGATTATTCATATAAGAACTACATGTTTAACAGGAAAACCGTTTCATGGCTTATAATTTGACCATATATATACATGGATAGCTTTTCTCCAAATTATGAAGGTCAATCAACTTAATTACTTTTTATTTTCACCAAAAAAACAAAATAATATGCTGTGTTGCAGAAGGAATTCGTCAATTAAGGTTATTTAAAGAAAAAAACACAGTTATTTTAATTGGCTTGTTTTTATTGTAATGTTTTTTTTCCAAGCCGAAGCATAATAATAACATTTTTGTGATAATGTTAATTAAATTTGTTATACTGATATCCAGATTTTGTATGAAGAAACATGTTTTTGATTGGAATACTTTGAGATTGTTGGTGAAGTTTAATTTCTTTTAAATGCTAGTACAATTCCGACGCTGTACATTGTGAAATGTCGCAAACACCGTTACTCGTTTATCTCAAGTCGATACATAACGGCCGGCCCCTATTGTGTTGAATGTCGCGCGCTGAGCTTGTATAGCTATCGAACTTAAATATCGATATATTTACATCACTATCTGGACGATTTTAAAACGTTTTTCTATCGATATTTATTGCTGACTGAATCTATATTTATTTAGATACCAACGTTTCCTAGAATAAAACAGATGTTGAGCTAAACAATGCTTTATAGTGCAGTCATTTCCTGGTCCCGCACTTAAAGTAAATTACATCGCCAGTGTCTTTGGCGTGTGTGTGTGTGTATGTTTGTACATGTGTGTGTGTGTGTGTGTGTGTGTGTGTGTGTGTTTTATCTTAACTGCCTAGTCGTAGGTCACCTACGCAATTTGGATTAGAAAGTAAGATGGCGGGTAATGTTGGTTTTACGACTTGATGTGTCTACCCATTGTTCTTTTAATGAGACTCGTATAATTGTAGTTTTTTGTTTATTATTTTACCCAACTGTGTGTACTCACTTGTAATTGTAAGTTTAGTCAATAACGTCACTACGTAATATTATTCATAACAACTTAATGTGAAAAGTTATTTTCGTCTCGTTGGATAATAATATTCCTAACGTTTGAAAGCGAAATATTCATTGAATTTTAAATGTTCTAAAATTTGAATTGGTCATGATTTGCCTGGAACAAATTGAAACTTATACCTACTATTTTATACAAGGTTATGCCTACGACTTTGTTCGAAGAAATTGTGTTTGTTGAATGACGGAATTTATTTGTGTATACCATGATAATGAATGCAAAATATATTTATTTACGATTACGCCTCTTCTACTGACAAACAAACTAAAATTCTCATATTTATTTTATTAATACATATATGTATACTGTTTTTTGTAATTTTAATGTAGAATACACAGATAAAGTATGTTATAGGTTTATGAAAATACTATAGTATATGATTTGGAAACTTTTATTAAGTTTATTATATTATAAATTCAGTCATTTTATAAGCAAACTGCAAGTTTCGGCGCAGCTATTGAAAAATATACTTGTATGTTTGTTTCAGAATTATAAATGTATAGCTGACCGGGCGAACTCAATTCTTGTTTAAAGGCAGTAGATAAGGAGATTTTGGATTTGATCAACTTATTTTTTTATCTTTTTTAATCGGATGAGATATCCTATGTCTTTTTCCTTGTTCTAAGCTATCTCTCTACCAATTTTCAGCCAAACCCATACAGCCATTCTTGAGTTATAATTAGTGTAACTAACATGACTTTCTTTTATCTATAAAGATTTAAAACTCGATTAATCTTAACAATTTACACACACGTAAATGTAATGTTCCAAAAAACGTGTTCAATAGTTTGTGTTAGACCAACATACATCTTTATCAACTTTGATATTTATAATATCATTAGGCGTTTTTATGTAAGCTACTTCAACTTGTATATAATTAACGTTTTTTCTGTAAATTTTCCCTGACCTCCTTTTAGGAAGTACAGCACTGTGATTCAACTCATTCGATTTACGACGCCTCTAACCAGGTTAAACGACCGAGTTTTACCAGAAAATACTCAAACATCTAAGCTTTATTTTGATATATTCCCTACTAATATTATAAATGCGAAAGTAATTCCATCTGTCTGTTACGCCTCCACGCCTAAACCTTTGAACTGATTTTAATGAAATTTGGTACAGAGATAGAGTTGACCTTGAGAAAGAACAGGAGAGTTTTTATCCCAGACTTTTAAAAGGTTCTCTTGGAAACGCGATATAAGGGAAACGCTGCTGGCGGAAAGCTAGTATTCTATATAAAAAATATTTTTTATTTGGCCTGTATTATATGTGTGTGTGTGTTTCTGTGCAGGGAATGCGTGTCATGTGCCCGGAGGTTCAACATAATCACAGTCTGCCCCAGCATCACCGGCCGCCGCCGGCGCAGTCATCCAATACATTGACTCATTGCAACTGCCTGTTGTCCAACAACGATACATATAAGGTAATACACGAACATACATACAAACAAATCTATAAAAACACTTGTATGGCTTATAGCAATGGTTCCCAAAGTTTATAGCAGTATATTTTTATCATATTATTACGAAACAATAATTTTTTTTAACATAATTATATAAAGATAATTTCATATGATCCCTGCTGACTGTTCTATAGAACTGATTTTGGGAATTCCTGGATTGATTGTATATTTAATCTATTCTCCAAGCCCTCCTTACTTGAGCGGTTTTAAATTCATAGTTATATGACGTAAACCTAATAACCAACATACTTAACTAAATTATCAACTGGAAAACTGACTGAAAAATAAATTGGGGATGTCTTGAAACATCCTTTGTTTGATTTCCTTATTATTATTACTTTTCGCTACGTATTTATTTTGATGGTATATTATTTAAAAAAAAATATAAAATTTTAATAAACACACTAACATTATCTTTCATTAATTGATATATGTATAATTATTTTCATAAACGATGTCATATTACAATCCAGTATCCACATGTCAAATTTCATAATATAGTTGCGATCTTTCTCTTATTTATTTTTAAAAAAGTCAAAGAATTTCAAAACAAACAACACTATCACGTTATACTCAGTGTTGTAATAATAATATAAAATACCGGTTTTTCAATTATGCAATTGTATGAGATTGTCACAAATAAGTTTCTTAATGTCTGTATCGTATTTTTTTTTGACAAAAACATTTTATTAAAATTTAATGCATTTTTTGTCTCCGTGCATATGATAAAGCTGTATTTATCTTGTTTTTTTTTTGGTTTGATTACTTTGTAGGTAAGTTATTTTTTGTTTTGCAGTATAAATAAATAATATTTATAATTTTATGTTTTATACCTCATTATTTTATTTTTAATTATTTGTTGATTATATAAAGGTTTCATTTAAATATGAATGCTCTTTGGACGTTCACTATACTCTGGCTTTTATTTTACAAGCACATTTTAATTTAAGATTTTTTTTTGTATGAAAATATATTTTTTATAAATATGTATTATTAAAAAGAAAGTTAATTCATTTGAATAACATCACTAAATAACATTATCAATGCATATATTGAAAGATTACTAACATTTCTAAGATTAGATAAAACTATATTAAATTCCATAAAAAAATATTTGTCTTATTTTGGTAAAGACTTTTAACATAATTTTGTATGGTTTAACTTGTATACAAATGTTTTACGTGTTTTTACAACTCGTAAATAATTTGAGAATACTTATTTAAGTATCAGTATAAATAGTCAGTATATAGGTATTTGACAAAACTCAATTCATTTATTTGACATAGTAGTTTAAAAAATATATACATATTCTATTATTTTTGTAAACAGTACTTTGTAATGAAGGATTTATCAAAAAACAATGTAGTGTATTTTGAACCCCACTGATCTTTCTAAATAAAAAGTTAATTTTTTTATAGAAATAACAATCTCGTTTGATTTCCCGGGAGTAGTTCTACGAGTAATGAAATTGTATTTACAAACATACTCTCGGTATTTGTTTTATTGTTCAAATCTATCGTTATATTTCATTTAAAATATCAAACATAATTTAACAAATATTTGTATTTGTAACTTTTAATACACTGCCTAAAAGGTATACATATATGTATAAATATATTAAGTCGAATTTATTTGTATATATTTAAATCTTTTCATAGTTTTAACCGTCTGTCAGTAACTTTACTGTTAGCCGACATCTAGGGCAGTTTTGAAAGTAGCCCGGCGTCTTGTTACCTAGCTCACACCGAAATTTGTTCTTGGATCCTTTATTGCAGTCAATTGCTCGTCATTTGACACCAAGACTGATGAACGTATACTGTTACTCTTAATCTGGTATATCTAGTGACGTGAGTTAACATATAATATATTAATAACTAGCTTTCCGCCCGCAGTTTTGCCCGCGTGGAGTTTGGTTATATCGCGTTTCCAAGAGAACCTTACAAAAGTCTGGAATAAAAACTATCCTATGTTCTTTCTCAAGGTCAACTCTATATCTGTACCAAATTTCATTAAAATCAGTTCAGTGGTGTAGGCATGAAAGCGTAACAAACAGACAGACAGACGGAGTGACTTTTGCATTTATAATATTAGTAGGGATGTAAGGAAATGTCTAGTCTTACCTACAATTGGATTTGAGTCTTTTAGCAAAGTACTGAAATGCTTCTCATTAAATTTATAGTCAAGTATCTAGAATAAAATAATTGTTACTATAATATGTATTTGAAAGTTTGAGAGTAGTGTGGGGAAAGGAAAACACTAATTAAAATTTTTACAGATAAGCTAAGCACTACAAAGTACATTTATTTAGTTTATGTGTTTGTTTAAAACGATACTCATAAATTTGTAGTGTATACAACAAAAATTAATTACTATACGTAACACACAATATATCACACATGTAATGGGGTGTTAAAGTTTTGTAATAAAACTAAATTGAATTCTGCAAGCGTACTACGTATATGACGATCTTCATATATTATATAAACGGAATATTTAAAACATCACGAGTGTTAATAGTGTGATACTTGAAGTATGTATTATACTGTGAACGGTTTATGTAACGACAACGGTGATTCCACAGGGCATGTGGAGCTCGTGAACCCGTGGCGGGGTAACGTGATTGTCTGTAACATGTTATTGAAGGGGGCTGGGGATTTGAAGTCCCCCTGAAATAGTATTATAGATATCAGACGCTTTACGACCGGGGTTTTTTTGACAATATTTGGACGATAATACGTTGAGTAGCTCAACTATTTAGCTGCGTTGTTTGTACTTGAATTACTCATAAAGAATTTCTATTGTTTTTTACTAAACAGATGACGCTCTCACTTTTAGTTCGGTTAACATTTAGAACAAAATAACAAGCGACGCGTCGCGTTCGCAACAGTTCTCAAAACCAGCGTCTTATTTTTAACATCGTTGATTTTGTATCGTGTTGAGATACTACGCAGTTTCGGCGAAATTTATTTCTATATCTTTCTCATTCACCAAATATTCCGTACTGCTCTAAATAATAGCGAGAAATTCGCGAATAATAACAGATCGGATGTTCAAGGGGTTTTGTACTGTATTGCTATCACCATTAGGTTCAATTCAGCCGTCGGTGTAGTGTGACGCAACACGATTTGTTTACGCCCAGTAAAGTGGCTACGTGCATGCGAGGAGCGGCCGACATACAACACGACGTTGCCAAGTCGTTCTTGAGCCAAATTTGGTGTGGTGATGGTTGACACCGTCCACGCCGATCACCAAAACAGACCGGTCCGCCTCCGACTGTCTTATTAAGGAACCAGTTCATAGTTATATTATATCAATATATCAAATTAACATTTTAATGTGGACCAGCGTTAATATGTCCTCATGATGGATAGCTCCTAGCGGAAAATTATACTAAAAGAGCTAAGTAAAGCACCGACTGTAATTTAAAGGATGTTGTGTCCCGGATACGAGTTCAGTCTCATCAGAATTACTTTATAATAGTGTTCCACGCAATTTGATGTTGGACATCTAAATTCGTGATGATTAAATAAGACTCAAATGGAACAAAGTTGCTGGGAAGTAGATCAGATGTTGTCATACTAATATAATATTTAGTGACTATTTATAAATGTTAATTTAATTTTGTTCTGTTTGTTTTATATATATTTGATATACGTAAGAAATGTTTGTGGAAAGAAAGTTAATTATTTAATTTAGATAACACTGTGAAAGGAGGAATGAATATACGTTTCTGTTGATGTAGCAGCTGGCAATTAATGTTGACTTGGAATCATCATTAGTATCTCGCCACACAGGACTTTATGTCGTTGTAGATTCGGTTTATAATCGCGTGTTAGCTTACAATTTAACAGGTACAACATATATTCTGCATTATATGCAGTGAAGATTTGATGTGGTGGGCAAATTGGCAGGCGAACCGCACAGGTCAGTCACCCCGTCCCTGCCCCCCCTTCCCTTCCCTCCCCCCCGGTTATGTAAACGCTGTTGCCATACAGTGCCAAACTCTTAGCTGATTCGCGTCTGGTACCAACACGTTTCTACTCGGTTCGGTGTCAATGTTTTTATTCGTTTGTTTTTTCATTATTCGTGATGGCCATTTTTTTTTACTCGTCGTGTCTCACTTATAAACATCATATTTTAATGATGGATGAGGCTCGCTTGTTAGTTGTTACATCTTAGTACAGGGCAATGTTATGTTGAAAATTAATGTTCGAGTAATGAGAGTTATGTTTCGTAATTCGAGGAACTTAATAGTCCCATAAACATATGCAGGGTGACTGGTGAATTACTATCAATATTTAAGGAGAATACTCGGTACATGATTCTCATTCGAATTATGTAAAAAAAATAGGTACTTAATTTTTGACTAGAATTTAGAAGTTAGAAGTTTATTAATATTTATGTTATATTAATTTTTATTTTGTCATATATGATCGTCAAATATCACGTCCTCAAGTATCGATAGTAATTCACCAGTCACCCTGTATATAAGAATTTGCTGTTATTTATGAAAGTACATCAATAAAATGAAACGAAATTGATTGTTCTGTATATTATATTGTTCTAGTCGTTATTGAGTCGATTCAATATACCTGGTGTCATTCAAAGCAACATTTCCGTCCCAATTGCAATAACCAGATAACCTTGATGTCTTAACATAATTATATCAACTATTTATATATTTATATTTGACATTCAACTGGCTTGTTTACGAAAAGCACGTCGTCTTTTGTAAGATTGATCTGTGCTAAGGGAACTTTCGAATCGCTTTAGGCTATTGTGTTTTAGTTCGGAGTTATGCTTTCACATTGCACAATGCTTGCGAGCGTGTTTAACTCCAACTATCAAACCCCAGACAACCTTATCGTGACAAGTATAACAGAATCGGGTTACAGAGCATGTCGCACGTCTGTAGTAGAGACGCCAATTTGCATGTTTCCTGGTTATTATATAGGTTAGAAGTGTGTGTATGTTGGGCTGTTCGCATTAATATACTAAACTGATTTTAATTCTGATATAACACAGTCGGACACAGCTTTATAATGTCAGTAGTATTGCTTTGTTTCACAGAAAGATAAATTGTTGGATTTACATAATACATAAATAATAGTTTTTGTCATAGAATTCGTTCGTAATTTTAAATGAGTATTGTGTTGTTAAAAATAAAACATACATTAACCAAATGGCAGCTCATTCTGTAATAAGTATCACATGACTTATACACTGAATTTGTAGATAAATTTTTCATAGAGTACATGTTATTCTGACGTCTGATCTTAGATCATTGGAAGGTTTATTAAAATCAGCTCAGCATTTATATTATTTGTATAATATTGTTTTAATAACTATCTGTTTCCATGACATATAACATATAACCCATATTAATTCTATTTATAATGTAAGGTGTTATTATAATCGTTGTATGAGCGGTCCAGTGAGCTCTATTCTTTGTTAGACAATGCCTTTATTGTGTACCAGTTTGTTAATCGCCTGTTCTGATGGCCGGCCGGTAATGAGTTGCTTCATCACAGATACCACTCGATACATTCATATTGCTTCTATTGTTGTGGACTAGAGATTAATTAAAAATATATCTGTTTGTATGTAAAATTTTATAAGTATTTTCTAACAAACTGGTTTGTATTAAAAATGTATATGTATAGTTTCTTCTTCTACCTGGCAATTTCCCAGCTATAGCCATATCTGCCTTACATGTTGTGAATAGTTTTGCCTACTTGTTTTTAAGACCGGCCGCCTGCCTGACATGAACCCTCTTTGGGAATGCATTAATCAGTGATGTCTAAATACTCTTAGAAAGTACATATGACTCGGAAAAATCACATTGGTACTTGCCAGGATCGAACCTGATCCCTCGTGCATGAGAGGCGGGCCTTCTAAGTTTTAACCACTAGACCATCGCTGACTATACTATATATTTTATTTATATTAAATACGAAAATATATAAATCCCTTTACAATCATTTGTAATAACAGTTTACTCGTCAGAAGTAGATTGCCTTATATTTTCTTTGATTAAAAAGAATATTACATAAAGGAGCAAAAATACGATATTATATACTTATATATAATACTTTGTAGAATGTCGTATTTTATCATCTCTGTTACAACATGAATTGCTTTATAAATGAAACTAATTTAACGTGGTCTAATTCATTGTTTGTGTAAATGTTAGTTTGTCTACACACATAAATTTACGTTAGCACGATAATAACTGCTAAACTACAATAACAGAATGCTCTATGTAGTGATGACGTCACACTATCACATAACATGCCTTTATATATATACAAGTATATCATATATCTTATAATTTATTGCACATATACTTAGTATATTATAAATATTAAATATCTTTGTATCAGTAAATATAAGTTAATACTAATTATTTTATTTTTAGTTTTAAACACCAATATGAAACAAGTTTAACAGATATTTGGAACCGTTACGATATTGTATATCATTAAATATATTAGATTGTAATTCAATGATTGCAACACCATGTATGTATGTCATTAATGTTAATATACATGGTGTTCTAAATTTGTTTTACATGTGTGTGTGTGTCACGTGTCTATGTGCGACGTCATCATTTTAACAATAACATAGTATGTTATCAGTTTGCGTTATATATAATGTTATGCAATATATATCTAGGTTTGAGGTGGTATTAATTTATTTTTCAATGATCCATTTGTATTTACGTATGTGTTATTAGAATCATTACATGTCGCTTAGTGATAGACAGTTAATATTTTTGTGTTTATGATTTTTGTTATATGTATACATGTATATTTTTTTATTATTTATTGATATATTCACAGTGTTATTGTCTATCTATTGTGAGCGTGTTGCCATACATGTATGTATGTATGTCACATATCTATCGTACCGTTCGTTTGATTTGTATGCCGTGTTCATAAAATTTTATCCATTGTACCTACTTGTGAATGTGGACCGAACTCAGCTTGTACGTACAGCTAGTGAAAGCTAATATTATTGAAGTATTTTTATTTGTAAAGTTTATTACTTAAATGTTGTACGAATAAAGATAATAGTTTAAACTTCGAAACACTGCATTTATTATATAAATTAAAATCAATAAAAAAGTGTTAAAAGCCATAGAAATAAAAAATATATAGCTATAATAATCATGTTTCATATAATGCCTTATGATAATAGAATGATGTATTTTTTCATATTCGTGAAATAAACCCGTTTGATACAATCGAATAGGCACAGTAGGTACATGTGTATATAAAAAACCTATTTATCATGTGTTTGAATAGTGTATTGTGAATGAGGCGGCCGAGGTCGCTGCATACTGAGTGCATTGAACCCTAGTGATGTTTGCTATTTTGATAACGAGAATGTTCATTACATACATACATACACACACACATACACACACACACACACACATACACGTACACACATATATGCACACATACATACATACATGGCGACTATACAGAGGGATTTTTTGTTAGACGAACATTGTCTTGTGAAATTGCCTTTGTCTTAAGTATATATTATATTAGAAGAAACTTGTTCTCATTACATTACTTTAATATTTTTTGTTGTATACAAGCAGTGTTGTTCTGTTTTATAATTTTTATACTCCAAGGTATGTTACGTAAGTACGTAACCTACTAAATCACTATATAAGTCCCATGTATACATATATCTAATACATAAGTAGGTTATTCTAGGTATAGTTTTAAAGAAATATGAATAAGGAATTTCTACGAATGCAAGAGAGTTTGAATTAAATGAGAAATAGCATTACATCAGTTTGTCTTAAATTACGTTTGAAATGTAAAAATAGACTTAATCTCCCTGAGGGAGAAGCGACCCAGGGTTAGAGCAGTTACTTGGAAGATATCTTAGAAAAAGTATAAAACAAAGTTTGAATACCTACGAGGAAAATAGGCTACTGGAAATTTATTGCCTTTGAATTTACCCCTAGCAATTTAATTAATATATACATAAAGATTTTTAGCGAGAAACACGACTTGGAACGAATTAATCATAATGTATATAATGTATATATGTATGTACATAAGTCGTTAGAGTATATACAGAGATAATGTTACTCGCATGCTTCTATATCTGTTACTTATTTGTGACAGCGACACTTAGTAGTATTATCTGATTATAAGGAGATTGATAGATGTGTCGGATTAGTTTTGTTATGTAAAGGTATTATATG